GGCCTGATCAACATCGTCCTGAGCAACCAGGACGCCAGCTCTACCACCGCGAGAGCCCTCCTCCGCTTGTTGATGCGGAGAGACAGGTGCACTGGATTGTAGACCGCATTGTGGGTCACGAGGACCCTCCACAACCATTACTGCAGTCGGCTCATGAGAAGCGTGCGGTTCCATCCGTGCGTAGGTACCGAGTACGTTGGCTTGGATTCCCTCCCGAGCAGGATACATGGGAACCACGTTCCTCGCTCCTTCGTGACGTTCCAGATGTGGTTCTGTCGTATGAAGCCACGAAGTCGGACTATTCCAAGGCGGGCGAGCACGCGAACGCTCTCGTGACAAACGAGAGCGGTAAGGAGATTCACGTTGTCGGAAACGGGAACGATGACAAGAACGAGAACGATGTCGCGAACGAGAACGACGCCGTGAACGAGATCGATGCCGTGATCGAGAATGTCGCGGTGAATACATATCACGATTGCGAGGCGAAAATCGCGCAACTGGACGGGCAGGCGAACGTGTCGCTGCCCTGCGCTGATGATCCCGCGGAGATCGACTCCGCTGTCGCGAGTGGTGCCGCCAGCAGGGCGCACCACGAATAACTGCGCTTCTCCGTTCGCCCAGACTTCGCTCATACTTCGCAATCCAACTTCGTTCGCGATCACTGAGTGGACACTCAGCGATGTGTCGTCGCCATTCGTCATGAGTTGGGCGTGGAGTCGAGTCACAAGATTGGCATCCGATTCCAACGTTGGATGAAGGCGCACCAAGAACGTTGTAGAGCTTCATGCTCGATTCCATCAAGACCTTTCCCGCGCAGTTTTCGAAATCGGCGGAAGTAGTCCCGCATCATGTCCAGTGAGTCCGGAGCGTGAGCTCCGGACAAGTCGTACAGCGACCAAGGTATGAGCTGCCGCGCCATGATGTTGGTTGATGCACTCCCGCTGACGTTCCTTGGGAGTGGGTGTTGGGTCTCCGGACATTGCTTGTTCGTTTGTGGGCGAAGGGTTTTCGACAGTTGAGCACTCACGGTTGGTGAGTGCTGTCATGAGAAGGGGGTGATGTAATGGGCTACATTACACATATATCATTAACACAAATAAACAATTACATATGTAGGCAGGTGCTGGGCCCGAATAGCGGGCACAGCGTGGTAATTTATTATTGGTTTATTATTGGGCCTAAAGTCCCCAATATGGACCAATGATAAATCAACCTGAAATTGTGTGGTTCCCGAAAGGCGGGAACACTATCGTATTTATTACGACTAAAATCTTCGTAATTAGTACGAATTAAAACCAAAATAAAAATCAGAGTTAAATTTACTTAATACCTAATACTCGGGCTTGAGTCTTCCTCAAGCGCACGTGTAAGCTAGTGACGGTACGTTCTAGCCCCGTTACAACATCTGCATTGCCTAACTCCATAGGAGTGGCATCAGACTTCTCGGACGACGGCCTGTAATAGGCTGTCGCCGAGGCGCTGTTGTTGGATTGCTCCTCAACTAAGGCAATGTCAATTGCCTCTTCCATCGTCGCTGGCACCTTTTTGAAAAGGGCCTGACGCGATGGGCCGTGCCTAAGCCCATTTATGAACGTGGACACCTTGATACGTTCTGGTATCGGTTCCCCATTGATGGACGCCGACAGCGAACGCATCTCCTGCACAAAGTCTTGCAGAGAGCGTTTCGCCTGTCGTGCTCCAAAGAAGCGCGCCATAAGCAACACTTCGTTGTTAGGCGGCTGATACATGGTGCGAATCTTTGCCTTAAAGATCGACCATGATGGAACGCATCGGCGTTTTCCACAAGCGCAGATTAAGCCCACTCTGACGCTTTGCCACGCAAGTTGGACATGGCATACGACACCGTTCTGGTGTCGTCTTCGATGAGCTGAGCCACTCCACATTGCTCAACTGCTAATAGCCAGTGAACAATCGTGTGAGGGCTAGTTCCATCGAACTTCGGAGGGTCCATCCGAATGGGCCTCGGTTGAGCAGGCCGGGCAGAGAGCGTCTCAACAGTTCTGTTGAGCGCTTCATTACGTGCCTGCTCAAGCCTAAGCTCATCCTGAGTCTTATTGATGGAATCAGCGGTGGCTTGGCTGTTTACCTCGGACGCGTTTCTACGCTGTCCGAGCACAAACGCGTCAAATTGCTCCAACTGAGCAACATGTTGTTCAGGAGGACAATGCAAGAAGTTGACTAGGGCTTGTTCACCAAGTCACTCCGCCATATGCTCTGCCAACTCCCTATGATGTTGGGAGAGGTGAGGGAAGTCACTCCAGTCATGTTAAGGACCATCTTAACCACACGCACGCTCAGAGAGACGGGTCGTGGGAAGGACTACTAGTGCTACCAAGTGTAGACGGGCACTTCTACGAAGTTGCCTCGTACTACGAGCACACACCTTATGCACAAGCGAGGAAGCGGTTAGACCGTCTTACCTTCGCGTGCGAGGGTGGTTGGGAGGTTGGTCGACTGCTTAAGCAGTCGTACCACCAGCTGCCTTTGGCTTTAGTGAGAGCGCAACGAACTTCTATTTCAAGAAGGCACCGACGTCACGTAGAAGCTTTTCAACTTCTCGTGCGTGGTGTGTTTGTTTAAGTAAATTCAAGACTGAGCTATATTTAATTAATTATAACTAAATACATACTTAACTACTGATTGGCTATATATGTATATAGATCGGATACGCGACTCTTTAGAAGCGTATCCTGTCGCATGAACTAGAATATAGATTTAAAATGCAACTGACATCCTTCTGAGACGTCGCGATGCCTAGCTTCAACTAGCGTCATCCCTTCTCATGTGAATCCATCAATGGATATCACATTCACGAGGGTGGATCACGTTTGTGAAAGAGAGGTTCAGATAGTCTATTTTTCACGGTGTTAACTATGTGCAAGATCTCTGGAAAGTCCTAAGCCAGGATATCAGCGCCGGATGACCCGACGGTATATCGTGGCTGACCGCCGTAGAACTCGGTGGCTCTCTAGGATCGCGCTCAAGCAGTTCAATGCAAGCATAAAGCAAGGCACCACGTGTGGCTGACGCAATTGTTCGACGCTCTCTCTTTGCGATTGCTCGGAGCTGACACAGGCACGAGGCCCAAATACTGGCGATGCTGCTGGGAATGTGGCGTGTGACAGCCTTGAAGACGGCTGCATTCCTGTCTATCTAAATCCGTGCTGGGCATATCGTCGCGAGGACATGCCAAGTTTGTGTCCAGACGCGTTCGGCTTCATTGGCGTCATCCTGAAATCGGTCCGCTAGGATTTTCGTGCGGTACTCGGGTATGCTGTCAACTCGTCGACTGGTACAGGCCCCTAGAAAGTTTTGGGTCACTTGGCGGGTGACGATTTGCCCGGTTCAGTGACCAATGAGCTTTTTTTAAAGCGCTGCAGCGCAATCACATTCCCAAAACAGATGGGCAATGGTCTCCTTCCTGCCGCTGCAATCCGGCGTCTTTTTGCAACTATTGCGCTCGATTCTCTCGGCGTGATACATATTTAATTGTCTTGTCGCTACCCGGTACCCTGTCCAGACTTGATATGGGGTGAGACCATTTCTATGATCCCACACTTGCGTCGGTGTTTGCTGGAGCGCTGCGCGTTGCCATTCATCTGTTGTTGCCGATTGTGAAAGGCGATCAACGAGGGCCGAAAGTTGACGGGCGAGAACTTTTCTGTGGGACTGGAAGGCTTGCTTGCCTAAGGCCTTCGTAACGAAGTGATTCGACGTTGTGTCTGGAACATACCAAGGGAATCGATGAAGCTGCGGGTGCGCCTCGAATACGAGACCCCCTCTTCGAATAGCGCGCCCAATCGCCTGTCGGTCAGATGGTGAAGCGTCAGTGAGCTCCGGCAGTAATCCATGGCAAAACCAATGGATCCCATCACCAGCTTGGTGCAAAGTGACGGGGCGGGTTTCGCCGTGTTCGATCTCCGTTAATTTGCCCACGATAATGCCTTTACCGAGTATCTTCCAGCGATATCTTTTCAATTGTGGTGGTGCCTGTCGAAGGCGCAGTGGCGGTGTCGCGTTTAATTCTGTCCCGATGGGTAAGTCCGGGGATGACAATAGGAGGGCTGTTACCCCCGTCGAAGTTTCGCGTCCGAATGGGAACCGGGTTGACCCGGAGGTATAGGGACCCGCATGACGAATTACGCTGGCCCCGTCCGCAAGATGTGAAGGTGTGCGAGGGTGCAGTCTTCAATCCTATTATACTTGGTCCTGGACAGCATGTTGCCGCTCTGGTCCCGAATCCATGGGTTCGCACTCCATTTGAAGGTGGCCCAAAACCTCTGAATTTCTTCCGGCATATCATTGTACCCCAGTAGGTGTGTTGGGAAAGGGTCAATAAACGACAACACCAATTTATCCCCATCCCACCAGCTGGTAACTCGGTCAAGTAAAGCCGTCGAGTGAGCACGGATCCTCGCGGTCAACTGGTCGTGTTGGTCTGTGGTCGGGGCGAGTCGTTCGCCCAGCTCTTGCTTCAGTTCCTGTTCTGGCGAGCGTGCTCGACTAGGCGATGCCCGCAGTTTAGCCTGAGCCGGCGTCACGATTATATCGTCCGGCCCCTGACTGCCCCGAAAGGCCCATACCCGCTGGGTGGATCACGTTTGTGTATCGCACCCAAGTGACAGGTCGAAAGTAATCATGGATACCTTTAGACCAAACATTAAGTATATTACTAAATGTTTACGTGTAACTAGATGCCCTGTTACATATTGGGCATAACATTGCAGGCGTGGCACTTGAAGCTGACACGTATCGGAATTAGTGTGCCATTCGTTTCATCAGATTAACTCGAAGCTCGTACTGATAATCTCATTATGTAATACCTTGCGTCGTGTATCCGTATATAACGATATCATTTCGTCTCACATAGAAACAAAGACAAGTATCATTTTACCGCCCATCTAAGACGCTTCAGTAGATACACCCCCCCCCCCTCCCCAACTGCATATTTGCCCCATTTTACCCGACGCCCTGCTCCCATGCTTTCAACTTCGCTCACGAATGTCATGTCCGGTTCCGTCGTGTGGCAGAAAGAACGCTCAACGACTGCATTCCACCCATTGGCACTTAGCGCGTGTCGGAATCTCCTTGCATTGAGTGTTCAAAAGGAGGAAATACCTGAAAAAGCAGGCGTAAAATTACTCGTGGGTGCTGGCGTTTGCCTCACATACGAGTTTGCATTGGGTCATTACCTTGAGTTTATTAAGATTATGAAGCAGACAAAGCCGCAGTTTTCATACGTGCAATTGACCCAAGAGATTATGCACACGAAAGGTCTCGTCGGTATTTGGGACGGCTTCTTTCCATGGGGTGCTCTTCAGGGAGTGGCAAAGGGATCCGTCTTTGCCTGGGGCCATTCCATTGCCCGTACAGCACTTACTCCTGTTGTTCAGAACGACAAGATTAGCAAGGGCACGTCCGAGGTCATTGCAGGCGGCATCGGTGGTGGGTTCCAGGGTTTCGTGCTCAGTCCCACGCTGTTACTCAAGACGCGCGTGATGACTGATCCCATTTTTCGCGAGCAAATGACGCCGCTCGAAACCATGTCGCGCTCCATGCGCGTTGGTGTCAAGGTCATCCGCAAGGAAGGCGTGGCAGCGCTGATGAAAGGATCGGGCATCTTCTCGCTCAAGCGAGTGGCCGACTGGTCCACACGTTTCTTCTTTTCAGTGAAGGCTGAAAATATAGTGTACAAACGCGGCAATCCCGACCACGTGCTCACAACTAGCGAGCAGGTCATCTCGTCATTACTGGGTGGTGTGGTTAGCGCCGCGGTGACGCTGCCTATGGATGTGCTGGTTGCTCAGATTCAGCAGGCGTCCAAGGCCGGTGAAAAGGTATCGGCGGTAAAACTGTTCCAGCAGCAATACCGTACGGGTGGTATTAACAAGGTGCTAGCATTTGGCACGACTGGCTTTGTGGCACGATTTATCCACGCCAGTTTCACGACGATGATTATGAAGACAGCTACGAGCGTGGTATACGACATGGTCGAGGGCCGAAACTAGAGCATCGTGTGCTTATCTCCATCGGCCTCCTCAGTGTCCGAGTCTCTGGTCTGGCAAGAAAGCTTTGCTCGCCGATTGAAAGAGATCTCAGTACTTACCAGCAATTAAAGAATTCATCGATTGCTAACGTTAAAAGTACTCCAGCGCAGCGACTTCATGCTGTTTCATTCAAAATATACTACATCAAGTCTGTATCGGTTGCTGGAATTGATATGTTGTCAGTAGCAAATGCAGGCGGAAGAAACTGTGCATAGCGATTGAGGATGAAATTCTCGGCCTGTTGCATGCGCTCGTAGTCGGCGTCTTGTTCATGGTCGTATCTGTAATAATGGATAGGTAACAGTTTGTCAGTCAACTACAACATATGCAGCTCCTTGTGACCATCACGACTGTTCTCACCCCATCAAGTGGCAGAGTCCGTGTGCCATGAGCACAGGCAGTCGCTCTTCCAACGTCGTGACGTCATCAAGCTGCGGATCTTCACACTGAGCTTGGATGTACGCTGGACTGATATAGATATCCCCTAAATAGCGTTCCTCCTTCCTTTTGACACGAGGAAACCTTCCTGGGGCACGAATCTACACGTTGATCCAACTACAAGTTAATAAAAACGTAACCCAAATAGATTGAGCTCTTTGTGGAACGTCCAGTGCATTACTTTATGGAATGGAAAGGACAGAATGTCGGTGGGTTTGTCCTTCTTGCGGAACTTGCGATTGAGTTTCTGTATATGACCGTCCGTCGTGAGCATTACTCCCATATCCCTATCAATTGTGAGTGACAAAGGACACCAAGTGGGTGAATGGACATAAAGACTTTCAATGCTAATGACCGCAATCAATTAGATCATCTACTGCTCGTACCAAGGTCCTCCAGGGCAATTAAGACAGCGTACCATTGCTTGCGTTTGCGCCTGTAGCTTGACAAGCGCTCGTCGTGATAGCGCGGCACTCGTGCCAGCGAGTGCTTTCGCCACTAGAACCATTGCCGAATGATAAAATAGACTAGATCAATACTTTAATCAAGTCAACATTGTCACGAACATGACAATGGTCTCAGAATGAAGTCGACAATCTCGTGTTCGTACGAATTCACCAACATCCACAATAGGATGCGACTGACAAGTTCTGCTATGTCAATGTCATGACAAAAGTTTCCTTCTGATTCTATAACGGACAATATACTGTACAAGGCCTATCAGGAATTGAAGCAGCTGCAACGATTCTTGCCTGGATGCAGCATTCATATTGTCAGAGGGACCAACGATATAGTCTTCTCTACGCAGTCGCAGCACAATCAAACCTTCATCTAGAAAGTTTTCGGAAAGCGAAAGATATTCTATCCGTCTAAAGGGTAAAGAGACCTCCAATTATGCTTGAAACGCACAAGACCACCGTGAAAGTGCACTTAGCAGGTAATAATTTAGGAAGACTGCAATGGTGTCGTGAAATGTTGTGACGTGGTTACACAGCACCTTGCACAGTGGGAAGTGATACAAACTGCTATAGTGGATGACATTTGCTTCTCTTGGTGGGTGCCTATAGGCTGAGCCCGAAATGCAAAGCTTCCAAGTGACGCCGTTTCGCGCGTGTACGCTCAGCCTGCTGCAAGGTGAAATTGTGGAACGGGGATGAGTTATGCTTCGACAAGTTTTATGCGGAGCAAAGTCTGACTGACACTTGCAAAAAAACACTTAGCCGCTCCGAGTGTCAGATTGATGGACCTTGGCCTTAAGAGTTACTATGCATAGAAACTTTATCTCGAGAGCTCTTTGAAGCTGCTTGGCTACTTGCAAGACAATATTCGGCTAGCGACATATTAATCAAACTGTAAACTTGCCTTTTCATTCCTTGTCGGCACTTCCAATAGAACGCGTCGAAAACATGATCCTGCTAGCATTTGTTTTTTGTTGTTGGGATAGACAGCGGTGGGCGAAAAATTGCAAAGCCAGTCAATGGGTTTCTTGTGTCACTGTTTACTGCAGTGCAAGATCCAAGTGCTTAGGGACTGTACATGAAGTCGGTCAGAAACTGAGTAAGGTTCTCTGGTTTAGGAACCGTAGCAAAGTTTTTCTCGTATCCGTATTCAGCGACAGCCTCAGCGATCTTCAGCGAGACGTTGCGGATGGTGGACAGCGGTGGGTAGACGCAGCCAGTTTCCAGGTCGGCGGGAGTGATCAAACCAGCCAGCGTCTTGGCAGCGATGATCATGACCTCGTCGTCGACGTGAGTCAGCCCAGCCGCAACAATTCCTAAGCCAATGCCAGGGAACACGTACGAGTTGTTGCCCTGACCAGGCACGTAACGCTTTCCTTTGTATACAACAGGGTCAAAGGGATTGCCACTCGCGAAAATGCACTTGCCGTCCGTGAACGTATAGGCCTCTTCGGCCGTGCACTCGGCCTTGGATGTGGGGTTGCTCAAAGCGAAGATGATCGGGCGCTCATTGACCTCGCACATCTTCTGGCACACCTCCTTGTTAAAGGCTTTGGCGATAGTGCACACGCCGATAAGAGCAGTTGGCTTGATCTGTTCAATGGCCGACAGCAGGTCTAAGCACAAGGGACCATCGTGGGCGAACATCAGCTTGTGGTGCTGTAGAGACTCTTTGCGGGAATTAACAATCAGACCGCGTGAATCCACAAGCCAAATCTGCTTGCGAGACTCTTCCACCGACTTGCCCGTTTCCGTGGTAATAGCTTGAGCAATTAGTTCCGCAATGCCAGTACCGGCCTCACCGGCGCCAAAAAATAGAAATGTCTGCTCCGAGATAGTCTTGCCTGATAGTGGGACAGCAGCAAGTAAACCGGCAAGAACCACTGAGGCTGTACCTTGAATGTCGTCATTGAACGTGCAGTGAGTGTTCTGGTACTTGCGTAGTAGATTGAAGGCGGTCGAGTTGCCAAAGTCTTCGAACTGCAATAAAACTTTCTTGCCGTATTTGGCCTTTGAAGCGTCCATGAACTCCTCGACAAGTTCCTCAAACCTTTCACCACGTACGCGCTTCTGACGCAGACCAATGTAAAAGGGGTCAGCCAGGTACTCCTCGTTATTAGTTCCACAGTCAATTACAACGGGTAGACACATCTGGGGTGGAACACCGGCACATGCCGTATACAGTGCCAACTTGCCAATAGGAATTCCCATGCCATTGGCTCCTTGATCACCTAATCCAAGAATCCGTTCCCCGTCCGTAAAACAAATGGCCCGAATGTCCTTTTCCGGCCAATTGTCTAGGATCTCAGCAACGTGGCCAATGTCATTCAACGAAATGAAGAGACCACGCGGCTGTTGCGTGTAATTATGACTAAATTCTTGACAGCCTTGACCGACCGTCGGTGTGTAAACAATTGGCATCAGTTCGGACGTGTGTTCAATGAGCATGCGATAGTAAACGTCTTCATTAACATTTTGCATGTTTTGCATAAAAATGTACTTTTCAATGGGCGACGTCTTGCGACGAATGGCGGCCATGGCACGTGCAGTTTCAAATGCAATCGTGGATACGGCAGCCGGTAGCAAGCCACGTAAACCAAGCTGCTTGCGTTGTTCTTCCGTAAAAGCCAATCCTTTATTAGCATTGGGCGTACGCATCGTAGTGTATCCATTGGAAGCCATTTGAATTGCAAAGTGGATCACTCAAGTGCGAACGTCTCGGCAAATACAAGAATGACGTGATACTGGATCAGATATACGAAGGAAGACCCGGTTGACAATAGGGAGTTTCAAAGAATGTGATTGTAATATTTTGATGGCCAGTGACTGCAGAGCCGATCAAACAAGTTTTTTAACGAATACTACAGTAGTTCTAATATTGCTAATGATCAATAACCTTTACCAGGTAGCGTTAGCGAGATAGCTTGTATCTGAATTAGACACACTGATGACGTCTTTGTAGGTAGCTCTGATCATCTAATATACCGTTGATTTACCTGGCAACTTAAAATGGAAAGTGACGTCAAAACTGCACTCCGTGAAAGCAGCTCCACAATGGAACTTGGTGCGTCGATGATTGACTGAGATAAGCCGTATCCATCGAGACTTTTGCTACGTGGGCAAGAGCGTCCATTTCCACCCAGTCTCATTTTTCATCTTTCTCGTGAAGAACCCACTCTTGAAATAGCCCTGTCGGCACCACCTCGTCACTGAAGTCTCGGTTACGCGCAAACGACGTGAAGACGTTGTGTTGTATTTTTAGTGATCGTGAGTGTCGGGACTCAATATTAGAAAAAGTCCGAGTGCTGTCGGCGTCTACAATGGTTCACATAACGATAATAACCAGCAAATGTTGCAAACAAATAAACCTCTAGTGTCCACCGTCAGTGGTCGTAATATCATTCAGTACCACAATCAAATGAGTCTTTCCAAACGGCATTGAGAGCTAGCTAGATACCTTCCTTCGTCAATTAAGATGTGACAGTATGATTGTCGGCACGCCAAAACGTTTTGACGTGCTAGCGCCTACAAAGTGAGGCCGTGTACCAAGCCTGACTGATCTCTGATCTCTGACCTCATGGTCTCATGGTTGCCACATCCACATTAATATTAATTACACCGAAACATTCATTGCACGAGTGTTCTTGTCATCGTTGGAAATAATGAATAACACAGCACCCGTAGCGCTAACTTAAGGTTTTGTAAATGGAATGCAAAAGCGAGTGTGTTTACCTTGTAAGTAACGTGTCTAGTTTAATCGACACGAGCTCTACCAGAACATTAGATGATCATCAAAATGCTAGAAGCTGCCTGTATTGAGAATCTGACCAGTTTTCAGCCTCTGCAGATGACCTGCAAGCCGTCTGCTTTATAGTACTGCTGTACATGTAGGTACTTCGTGTACGCGTTCATATTCGTATGATAGACGCAGCCGAGCAATCGGTAATGGTTGACACGTCAAGCCCGGTTTTCGAGTGCATCCATTTCAAGCTTTGACACCATTTAAAAGACATGCCGGCATCGTATAACAACACTCCATCGAGCTTTGAATTGCAAAGGCGTGGGAATAATCAAGCACTTGCTCTTTCTGTGAAGGTGTTGGTTTGCCTTTTTCATAGTGCCACGCCTGGTCCTGTCAGCTTGAAGTTCTGACAAGCAGGATGTGCAACCAACCGTGAAAGTTCAACTTCGCACCGGAATTTCCGTAGCACGAGTTGAATCAGCCTCGCTGCCCCAATTCTAGCACGGCCACGATGATGTCGCTTCCGTTTTTCATAGCACGATTTTTTCCGACATGCTGGTCGCATGGTCAAGTTGAACTTGTCATTTATCAACGATGTGTGGCGTCACACCTGATGCTTCATATTTTATAGCACAAGGTTCTTGCTCGGGCGGACGAACCGATAAGAGGGCAAGTATATAAAGTCATCCACTTCGTATCTATGTAACAACCTTACAGGAGATTATATCTATCTGCCTTTGTACTTACGATCGCCATCTTGAAGAGATCAGACTACTGAAAGCGCAGGCCGAAGATCGTCTCTTACGACTTCAGTTGTAGAGAAAAAGAGGTGTAGATGTTCTATTTACATGGTTGCAACTATGTGCAAGATCTCTGGAAAAAGTCCTGAGCCAGGGTGTCAACGTCGGTTGGCTAGGCGGTATATCGTGACCGGCTACCGTAAAACATGGTGGTCCTCTAGGGTCGCGCTCTAGCAACTCGATGCAAGCATATAACAAGGCACCATAAGTGGCAGACGCAATTTTCAATGCTCTCTCTTTGCGATTGCTCGGAGCTGACAAAGGCACGAAGCTCCTGCGACTTGAGTTGTATGAAAGGCTTACCGTGGATGTTACATGGGTAGATTCTTGTGCAAGAGCTGTGTGACGCTTCCATTAGCGTCAGCGGTTACTTGAAGTCGAGGAAAAGAGCAGGACAACATCTACGCAGAAAGAGCTTGCCTTCAATTGGATCGATTCTCACACACCCTCTTGCAGTTGAAGCCAGTACATTGCAGTGCTGCCATGTGATGCTGGCGGTATCCACTGAACGGTGCCAAAGCGCGGCCACGCTGCGTCGTGGTTGAAATGGATGCTCTTCAAACCGGGCTTAACGTATCGACGACCGGTTGCTTGGTCTAATCTATCATACAAACATGAGCGCGAATATGGAGCATCTATATGTATACTACTGTAGAGCATATCGTTTGAGAGAATACACGTGGTATCTGAGATCATGTCAAGAGGGATCGTAGTGATGATGGTTAACGTCTAGATGTACTAAGCTTAGTACTGTATCAATATACGGGAATACTCAATAAAAACCTGCACTTGTCATTCATATGTTCTTGGTGAGCTCAAACTCGATCACTTCGTCCAGCACACTCATGCTGCAGCGGGTGATGTCAACCACGGCAGATTCCATGAACGGATTCATATCATGTGGTCTTGAAATGAATGGCTGCATGGGAAATTCGCAGGTCATTTGAAAGACCGATAGCTCGTCGTGAAATGGCGACAGCTCCACCGAGTCGGGTGAAAAGACCGGCGGTGCCACTTGCTCGAGCTTTGTCAATGGTCCAGCAGCCGGTATCATGTGAGAAGACGAGGTGTGAAGGTGTTCTACCGGGGTGATCGGTAAAGTTTGTGGTGATAGCACTAGCTGATGTTCAAGGCTAGTCTGTGCGTACTGATAGGACGGAATGTTGTTTCGGATGAGCTCCGGATGGCTATTCTTGATGTGGCGCGTGAGATTACCCGCCGTGCTGAAGGTCTTGGTGCAGCCCGACACGTGACACACGTGCGTCCTTCGGCCGGTATGGATCTTGATGTGGTGGTCAAGTTTCTCCTGGCTGGGGAACGAGCGCCGGCAGCCGTTGATGTCGCACTCAAAAGGTTTGAGCGATGCGTGAAGGCGCTTATGACGTGCCAAGTTGCCCGATGTACTGAAGCGTCGGCTGCACTCGACCAGCGGACACACGAACGGCTTCTCGCCTGTGTGCGTTTTCTTGTGCTCGCTGAGCGTAAACTTGCGGTTAAAGCGACGACCGCAGCCCGGCTCCTTGCATTCGAACGGCCGATCCATAGCGGTCGGCGTCTGCGTGGCGATACCCTCGTAGACATCAGAGTCCATAATGTTGGTTGACAGCGAGTGAGCGAGCAGTGACATCATGGTGACAATGGCGTTGAACTTGTGAGTGGTGAAGTTTTTTTGCTGACTCACACTGTTGCGCTTGACGCGATCAAATGAGAAATGATGATCCGATCCGATGTGGTGAGTGGTAGACAGCTGGCATTGCCAAAGTGGCGAGTTGAAACGGGTCCGTGACATGGTCTGAAATCATCCGCTGGACCGGCCATTGCCGCTCTAGGTCAAGTCAAGCAAACCGAATGTCTAACTGCATTGACGGCAGCGATATAGGGGCACCTAACAGAGACTGTAACTTTTGCCCTTTGCCAGCCGGGTAGATATCGCCACCTATACACTACGACTATCGGACACAGTCACCTTGATAGTGTACAGAATCCATAGTCATGCGCTGAAGTCAAAGATGTCGGAACCGTCTATTGAGGGACCGTGGGAGACGCATCCCTGGGCCTCTGCGGCCAAATCCGAACAGAGCCACGCTTGCCTCAGGTGGATGGATGACAGTCATTGATTGAAGCGACTCCGCGAAGTTTTTGCTAGAGCAAGCACGCTACTTCCTTCATGTAGTGACTGAATCAAAAATTTACCGAGAAGCAACAGCGAACGGATATGATGCTTGTGTGAGGACTACAACTGGCTCACGTCCTGCAATGGATCTGATATCGGGCTTTCAGCATTACATTTGTAGCATATTGATACGGAGCAGTGCTCGTGCATATCACTAGCTAGCCATATGTCCAGGCCATCAATCGTTACGCCGCAAATAATCCCCGTATTTAATACTGGTCAGTTCGGTGACACGGTCCTGTCAATGGCAAACAACCGTGACGCACTCCACATCATATGCCCTGTCCCGTTCGTGGGACATTTTGAAAAACGATTACAAAGATCCTTATCTTATGGACATCTAGATATACGATGCGAATTTACTACCAAGTACGATGAGGATCTACGATGCAAATCTACGATGAGGGATTTACTACCAAGTACGATGAAGAGCTACGATGCAGATCTACTACTACCAAACCCGATGCGATTCTACTTTTAAGCACAATGCTGAAGTGTTGAATCATCTCTCTCTTACAACTCAGTCACGTTGGACATATGCAAGAGTCTCTCTGAAAGGGTCAACAGGTTCAGATGTGCTGCATGTTGGCAATTGTATATCATTGAACGAATCGCGTTCGTCAGTCTAACGCTCGCTAAATAGGGCTGCCAAAAAGTGCAGGTACGGAGTACTAGCCATTAGAGTCATGACAGATGCTAGCAAATTTTGCTCTACGCTTTTTATAGAGTCGAAAAGTGGCGAATTACAAAAAATTATTATTGAGGCGTCGTGGGCTGTCGATTGGCAAATTTGACATTACCGTATAGCGAATCAACTAAGTAAACACCTGTTTATTGTGGTTTTTTAATGGAAATGATTATCAACGTCAGGAGATCTCATAACAAAACAATTGGGGTGGGTAATGGTTAGAAAAAATCGCCAAAATTCATAAAAACTAACGTGTTTTTTGTAATTTCAATGAGATATTTCGATTTGACATTTTCGTGCTTGATTAATAACATTCATTAGAAATGGGAGGTCTAGCTCATCGTCACTTGCTGCTGATCTTGGCCTTCCTGAGCGCTGTTTCTCTCGTCTCGACAGCTGATAATGCCGTGTATCCATCGACTCCATTAACCCAAGACCACGAGCGTCACGATGCTGAGCCTAGTCACCTCAACGTCCAGTATGATGACCACGATAATCATAATCATGATCATAACCATCATCACGATCAAATTATTAAATCTCCCAGGGTCGGTCGATTCTCGCTAATTGTATGGGGTCAAGCACTATTTGCCACTGCATTAGTAGGTGCTGCACCTGTAGTGGTGTTATTTATGGTACCGCTAGGTATCGGCAATCAGGAGACACAGCAGCCATTGCTCCGTGTGTTTTTAAGTTTTGCAGCCGGTGGGTTACTAGGTGATGCACTTTTGCATTTGCTTCCCCATTCACTTCCTCATGGAGAATTTCATACCCATGATCATGATCATATAGATCATGACCATTCCCATTCCATAACGGATCTCTATGTGTGGCTTTGGACGCTCACCGGTATATTAAGCTTTCTCATGCTCGAGAAATTTGTACGAGCGCAGACTGGAGGAAGTCACGGTCACTCTCATGGCCATACATGTCCCTCAGTGTCGATGCAGGACGGTGGTGTGGTGTCTAGCAAGGTACTTACCGCGAGAAAACGCATTGCGTTCAAGGATGGCAAAGATGACACGGAGATGCCTGGTAGTGAGCCAGTGGGCTTCGCGGAGTTAGAAAAAAAGCCTATTGCGGCTGCAGGGTATCTCAACTTGGCTGCAGATTTCTCACACAACTTTACGGACGGGTTGGCAATTGGTGCCACGTTTTTACGTGGCAATGGCTGGACCACAACGCTGGCGATGCTTCTGCATGAATTGCCGCACGAAATTGGTGACTTTGCTATTCTCATCCAGTCTGGATTTACACGTCGCGAAGCTATGGCCACGCAGCTGTTGACTGCCATTGGAGCTATGATTGGTACTGTCATCGGTTTGTTGATGGAAGGTGCCGGGGACTCGACCTCTGTGTGGATCTCCCCATTCACAGCAGGTGGCTTCATTTACATTGCATGTACGAGCGTCATGCCAGAATTACTGGAAGACTGCTCTCTCGCTCAGTCATTGAAGGAGATGGCGGCCATGTGTGCGGGCATTGGACTGATGGCTCTCATTGCGCTGGCCGAGTAGAGAGAGAAGACGAGGTTGCAATTAGTACAATATGTACCTAGATACTGTACTACTGTAGATACTTCATGTCCATCTGACAGCTCATAGGCAGATTCTACAAAGTATTCATGCTGTTTCTTTGTTATCGTTATCTCGACGTAGATCCATCCATATACATATGCATGAACAGACGGACGCATGTGGCGTACTCTGATGTTCGTATCTCTTTCAGCATTTCCACACGCCGATACTCTTGGCCTTCTGTAATGCACATCTTTGCTCGCCTTCTAGCATATGCTCAACACAATCACTTTGCATCGACTTCATCCTTTCTCTCGTCGGCATCAGTCGGGCTGTAGCCGCTTGCAGTCGGATTATAGTTCTCCGATGGGTTGTATTCTGGAGAAGCTGGACTGTAGCTAGGCGATGTCGGGCTGTACGCCGGAGATGTCGGCGAGTAAGCAGGAGACGTCGGTGAGTACGCCGGTGAAGTCGGTGAGTACGCGGGCGACGTCGGCGAATACGCGGGTGACGTCGGCGAATAAGCAGGCGACGTCGGTGAATAGGCCGGTGATGTAGGGCTGTATGCCGGGGACGTAGGCGAATACGCGGGCGTGTAGGCCGGAGAAGTGGGGCTGTATGCCGGACTGGTCGGACTGTATGCAGGAGAAGTCGGGCTGTAAGCAGGAGACGTCGGTGAATACGCAGGCGAAGTCGGGCTGTACGCGGGCGAAGTCGGGCTGTACGCAGGCGACGTCGGCGAGTACGCTGGAGACGTCGGTGAGTACGCTGGAGACGTCGGGCTGTACGCTGGAGACGTCGGACTGTACGCCGGCGAAGTCGGGCTATACGCCGGTGATGTCGGTGAGTATGCTGGTGATGTTGGGCTGTAAGCTGGCGACGTTGGGCTGTAAGCTGGCGACGTTGGGGAATACGCTGGAGACGTCGGGCTGTAGGCTGGAGACGTAGGCGAATACGCAGGAGAAGTTGGACTGTAGGCAGGGGATGTTGGGCTATAAGCAGGAGACGTCGGACTGTAAGCAGGCGACGTCGGGCTATAGGCTGGAGACATCGGGCTATACGCAGGCGATGTCGGGTTTAATGGGGACGCGGGGCTGTGCGCAGGTGAGGCCGCCATAAAGCCAGGAGAAGCCGGGCTTGCCATGGGCGAGAAAGCACCTGCTACTGGTGAGAACGACCCGCCACCGGGACTGAATGGCGACGATGCCGAAAAACCGGGTGTCGATGCGAACGGCGTCGCCATTGGTGTGCCTGCATTCTGGTCGGGGCTTCTCCATTCATTGTCAAGACCTTGCATTACCTGCTGTATCTCCGATGCCTCGTACTCGATCGCATTCGCGAGCTTCTTCGCATCAAGCACCAAATCCATAATACCCGTACCAAGAGGAGCCAACTGTCCAAGCATCACGTTTTCCGATACTCCAGTCAACGGATCTCCCTCTGAGAACATTGCTGCATCCATAAGAATCTCCACAGTCTCCTCAAACGAGCAGCGGACAAGCGGACCAGAATCATCACGATTAATTCCGTGACGAGTAATAGCCATAAGGTGACCGCGGAAAGTCATGACGTCACATAGACAAGCCAAATGTCGGTAATTCACATACGCACCATCAAAAGAAATTACCTGCCGAATTTCGTTCAAAAGTGCTCGGCGAACGGCCTCAATGCCTAGCACCTGAATGATTTCTACAATGTCATTCGAAATTGTCCGAGTCGAATCGACCTGGGGGTAGCACATCACATCAAGAAGGTTCGTACCATCCGTATCTAGCATCCACTCATTCATCATCTTGAAACCAACATCGTCGAACCAATGCGTTGACGGACCTTCACGAATGTAAACCTTCCTCACACCCTCAATACCACGCAACTTCATCTGCGTGAGCATATTGTGTTCCACACGTTTCAGGAACGTGTCGTCCTCTTGTCCAATTGTAGTCTCGCCTGATCGTTGTAGCTTCTCCTCTTCGTCACTCATAATACGAATGCGCAGCACCAAACGATCAGCGTTATCATCAGTAAAAATACACGAAAGATCTTGGCCGTACTCGGCTTCCACTTGCGACGCAATTTCACCCATCGTCAACTTTTTGTCGGCCATCATCTTCGGGTTTAACTCAATACGCAAGAGCCATGGGGAACGAGCAATCGGAGTGTCTTCATCAGGCATTTCGTAATACGAAGCCACGAACTCCTGATCCTCTTCGACCACCGTGTTCATTGGGTCCGGGTCGTAGTAGATAGAAGTGTTTGCTGTCACATCAGCCAAGGTCGTGTATTCGAGTTGCGACTGAATAAACTTTGCCTTATCAGCGTCGTGTGCACAATCTGGTGTCAAGAAAATGCGTAATGATGGCGTCCGTACTTCCTTTGCGATGTTCATGATTTCTTTCAGGCGAGGTACACCTAGTGTCACATTCTTAGCAGACACTCCGGCGTAGTGGAACGTGTTCAGTGTCATCTGCGTTGCCGGTTCTCCAATGGACTGTGCACCTACAACACCTGCCATTTCACCGGCAGACACCAGCGCACTCGTGAACTTAGATTCAATTTCACCCATGAGCCACTCGAACGCTGTCTCCGTCAGGCGGTGCTCAAGCGTAACGCACTTCGACGCTAGCGATGACCGCAACAGAATCTGGAAAAATAGCGTTGCGTTTTCCTGAGCCTCCACACTAAGTCGGTCCTCACCCTGTACAACAATAATCTTCTTGCACAACTCCTTCACCCCTTCGATAATGCGGGACGGATGAAGGCTAGACGGCTTCCGCATGTCAATGCTGAACAACTGCTGCGCATTTTCCACCAGACGTCGAATGTTCACAGGAATCTGGGCAGCGTTATCCGACTCCTGTCCCTGACCACGACTTGCTAAAATGACACGGAGATTAACACGGTCCTTTTGTAGCTGTACCAGCTCTTCTCGCAAAAGCTGCTGTGTGCGCTGGTTCGACCGGATATCCTTGATGATAACAGGCTCGAGGTACAGCTGGTCAGGGCAGTTTGGCACGCACCCCAGGTCTTCGTCAGATGGATCAAACATGTATTTCTTTTCGAACTGGATCTTATTCAGTTTGTGCGACTCAAATCGTTGCTTCTCGACCCAAACGGCATCCATACCGTCTTCGCCGTACAGAAACTGAATAATTTCGCCCTGTGCATTACGGACCGTGCCATCGTATCTTGTCATAACCGACTCCATCGCTTTCACAAGTCGCCGCTGAATATAACCAGTCTCAGCAGTCTTTACAGCGGTATCAATCAAACCTTCACGACCACCCATAGCGTGGAAAAAGAACTCTTGTGGCGTTAAACCCTTCAAGTACGAATTTTCCACGAAACCCCGGCTCTCGGGACCTAAATCGTCCTTGCCGTAGTGCGGCAGCGTTCGATGGTTGAAACCATATGGAATACGCTTTCCTTCGACATTCTGCTGGCCCACACAAGCAATAATTTGTGATATGTTAATAAATGAACCCTTGGAACCGGACGTCACCGTAGCCTTAATGTTGTTTGTCTCGTCAAGACTGCCCTGCGCCTCGCGACCAGCCTGATCACGAGCAGTGTTCAACACAATGTTTACCAGACCTTCAAAAGACTCAACCATTGTTCGACCAGGCTGAGTCTCTAGCTTTCCCTTTTGTCCACGCACCACCAAATCATGCACTTGCACCTTCGCTTGCGTAATAATGTCGACAATGGTCTTCAAAGTAGACACATCGGCAATCGTGTCGCTCACACCGACAGTGAAACTGCGACCAACCAACCAGCTGTTCACGAGTTGTTGTATGGCACCAAGTAGGCGTTTCGTTTCTTCAGGGCCCTTCTCAAGCATTGTGATATGAACCAAACCGCCAGACGACGAACCAATAATCTTCTTATCAATAATTCCAGCTAGTACCTCGCCTTGTTGAATGATCACGCGAGAGTCGATAGGAGACAGATCTGAAAACTTTTCACTGCTCTTGTGTGTAGACGAAAAGCCAGTGAAGTTAATCGCCGGAATAATTGTGGAGAAAAGCTGTTTGCCTGTCCAGATTGGAGTATACTTGCCCAATTCACCCTTTTTTGGCACTAAGATGGCTGGAGTTGGCACCTTGCCATCCCAATTGGACACCCACATCAACATGTTCATAACCCAGTCCTTATTTATGAAGATGTCACGCTTGGTGAACTTCTGTGCACCCAGCAACGAATCCTGTACAATACCCATTACGGGACGATTGCTCTGGGGCGTGATAACCACCTTGTGCACCATCATTAGTTCTTGTGCATCAGCTCGTGCAGTCATAGACTGAGGCACGTGCAAGTTCATCTCGTCACCGTCAAAGTCGGCGTTGTACGGAGATGTCACAGATAGATTTAAACGGAACGTCGACCAGTCGAACACCTTCACGCGGTGCGACATGATGGACATTTTGTGCAAAGAAGGCTGACGGTTGAACAGTACCAAATCGTCGTCACGAAGATGACGCTCTACAATCCATCCGCATTTCAGTGCAAGATCCGACTTGTTTTTAATGTAGCGCAAGTCAATACGGTTGCCGTCCTCACGAATAATGTACTTTGCACCTGGGTGCTCCAGCGGGCCATTCGCAATCAGCTGATGCATGTAGTTCATATTAAACGGTGTGACACGTTCTGGCACAGTCAAGTTCATCGCAATTGATCGAGGTACACCCACTTGATCGATAGCAATGTTAGGGTCGGCAGTAATCACCGTACGCGCCGAAAAATCCACACGCTTGCCCATCAAATTTCCGCGAATGCGACCCTCTTTGCCACGCAGACGTTGTCGCAACGTTTTTAGGGGTTTTCCGGACCGCTGCTGAGCTTGTGGAAGACCAGGCTGCTCATTGTTAAGGAAAGTCGCTAAATGAAACTGTAACAGTTGCTCGAACTGCTCAATGATATGCGATGGTTCACCTTTACGCACGCAATTCAGCAGCGCCAAGTTCGCCTTCACTATCGAGGCCAAATTGTGCGTAAGGTCATCTTCACCACGTGCCATGCCGTCGATAGCCACGGAAGGGCGGACGTGAGGAGGCGGCACGGGCATTAGTGTCATAACGAGCCAGTCTGGACGAGCCCAACGTGGATTCAGTCCTAGAGAAAAACAATCTTCGTCCGAGATGTTCTTGAAAATAGACATCACCTTTGCCGCCGGCAAATTTTGCTTTCGATCACCCGATCCAGGCACGTCTTCCATCTGCTCGGGAAACTCCACCAGTAACTTAATCCCTTGTTTGCGGTATTTCGGCTGCAGACCACCGCAACCTCCATGACCGCCCTCCTTGGGTTTGGACTTGTCGTCCAGTCCGCCTTGTAGCCCAATATTCAGATCCTCTCGCATTTTCTCCATGTCAGCCTCTTCACCGTACTCGCACATACTTTTATTACTGCAAATCTCGTACACGGCTTTTAATCGACGTTTGCCATTTTTAATCTTCATAGCCGATCGAAAACGATGGTCACGCTCGTCACTTAGGACTTTCGAGCAGTGGAAACACACAGAGCGTAAAATCTTCAGTACTTCTTTAATAAAGCCCATATGATACATGGGTCGAGCAAGTTCAATGTGGCCAAAGTGACCCGGACAGTCGTTTACTTTGCCACCGCTGCCGCTATAAGTACCTATAGTCAACACAACACATGTCAGTAATGATATATATATAAATGTGTGTGTGTACCACTTCAACAAGAGATCTCTCTTGTACGTACAATCGCAAGTTTTACAGCGCGCACGAAAGTCACACGTGCCCATTCGTGGATCTCCAATGCCGCCAATGACAGGATGTCCATTCAAATAAGTTTCTGGACGTGAAATTCCATCAGGAATAATGCGATCATTGACTTTCGTCTGTTTTGTGACGGACATGGCACGGATTTCCTCAGGACTAAAGACACCAAATTGAAGGTACTTGACACGGCGTAACCGCGCACTTGAATACGAGAATTGCGTAGATGACATGACAATGTGATTGACTGGAAGCGGAAGAAACCACTGACTTGAAGTTACGGCAAAAGGAGCGTCAATACAGACGGCGTTGGCTTTGAATGCGGGTTGGTTTCCCTGACCAACACTCTCTCAACCAAGTGATTTCACCACCAAGAGGAGATTTTGCAAGTGAAAGAAGGACTGGGGCGAAAGGGGGGGGGGGGGAGTTTCGTCATGGCGGATCTTTTCATTGGTGCAAAAAGGTTTGCAGAATGATTGTTTATTGGTGACAATGATCTAATCCGGATATACTCTCGTGTATCCGGATAAGATTGTGTCAACGGATAGATGGATCTCTCCCACACCTCTTCTTTTTTGTGAACTCTGATTGGTGCATCGCTATGTCGTGTCTTGAATAGCGTTGCTTGCCCATTTATTCGTGCCCATATTTTAGAAACGTATCTATTTCATTACTGCCAATTTATTAGCTTTAATAAAATGGTTTTAACAAACCGATGCAGTTATATGGTATAATACTATAGTCATTCAAGATATGCATATATCGTGACACGAGTATCGCCTCATTCTGCCAAAATCTGACTGCTAGACGCACAAAGACGATTAAAAAACGTTACGTCGGACACGACAAATCTATTTTGTCTCATGAGACTGCTGTATGTTGTCATGCAGAAGATTCTGGGGCCTAGAAAGACACTGTGAACGTCACTTATATCAAAAGCTAGAAAAAAACGCACTCGCATTTGCAAGTTTATAGCTATTAACTGGAGACTTGGAGAGAGAGAATGGGGCATGTCCTTCCTTCTTTACATTGTAATCAGTGAATCAGTGCTTTATAATAAATCACGGACGTACACGGCTGTCTTGATGCCACAAGTGTAGCCTTCATTGAACTTGTATCGCACCATGGAGTATGCATGGGTATTGTCTGTGCGTTGCTGCTTTAACTTTGCATTCAATTCCTCGTCACGTTTGCGTTTGGACTCGCGGTGTGCGAATGCAAAAGGATTGCGCTTGCGCAAGGCGTCGTTTTTCTTCGCCAGCTCCATCTCTACAGCAACATCACGTTGAGAGCGCAGAATGAACACAGTCGACTAAAGTAAACGTACCGCTGAGTTTTGGCAGAGCATAGGTGGCATTTGCAGCTTTCTCCTCAATAGTAGCTTCGCTTAATTTGCCGACTGTCGTGATCGACACCTTGCTGCGGCCATTCTGCTTCATTGACGAAGCAGAGTTTTCATTTCGACACATCTGCTCGAGCTCCACCTCACGAGCGATCATTTTTCGTACAGTCAGCGGAAGAATGGTTTGGTACGCTGCATTGCCATCATTGTTTCGGAATTCCACAAGTTCGTTTATTGCCCTGTACGGATGGGACATCAATGACAAAAAAACGGATCAGAAGCTCGAAGCAGGATACCTACGAACAAAGACAACAGCTACGTACGGTTCAAGTGCGTAGTCTTCGCTACCTTCGGACAAATACTTGTGCCGGAATGACAGTCCCAGCGACGCCATGAGCTGAATGAGTCGCTGAATCATTATCTTCTCTTCCTTTGTTTGCAGTGACGGGTTGATGCGTCGAATGTTGGGCGATAGGCTCGCAACTAGCCACGGCACGACGTCAACGACAAGAACACTTGTGCTCATTCGTAGGATTGGCTGCAACTGCGCACCCTCTGTCAATGCCACGAGTATATTCTCAGACCGGTTGCTTCGTTTCTGGGCATCAAACTGAGCGTGAGGGTATTCCACACGCCGCCTAGAGCTTGTGCAGCAAGATGCGTGCGTTGCGATGGCAGCGAATGGAATGTATGCTTGAAATACGTACTGCTGCTCTGATCGAGCACGATTATCATACTCATCCGCAAGTCCTAGCCACTCGTAAACGTCACAGATCTTGTTCATGGAGGGGTCGTTGAAGATCATTTTAGGGACGTTCTCATCCAGACCATTGAGCAATAAGGGAAAGTTTCCCAGCGATGCAACAGCTTCAATGATCTTCTCAGCAACAGGAAGCTCTCTTTTAGCAGACTGCAAGCGCGTTTCATAAAACACAAGATCTAGCGCTTCAAACATGCCATGAGCATGATCTTTTTGAGCAATGAGGCCGGTGCTTAGGTTCACAATACCCGATGTGCTTTGCACAGCTCCACGCGACTGCGTACTTTGAAGTTGTAGCGTATTCAAGCAATAGCGGATATCGTTGCCAGCGCTGGCGCAAAGATTTGCTAACGCACCTGTGGAAGCCCTGACCCCTTCATGGCGACAAATGTACTTCAGACGTGTGACAAGGCGTTGCGAATGTGGTGTATCCAGCGTAAAAATCTTAGCCATCTGACGCAGTGGGCGCAACACAGACGCGTACAGCTCATTGCAGACACATATTAGCGGGCGAGTCAACGGATGGCGACTCTTGGCTGCAGCTTTCGTTCCTACTTTCTTCTTTTGCAGAGGAGCTTGTACAATTTCTTGAATGACATCAATAGCGGATTTACCATCGTTGCCATTCATAGCGCCATCGATTTCGTCGAGGATGATGCAGTTTGGTTTACGATCACCCCAAATAGATTGCATCTCCATCGCGCTGATAATTTTATTGCGCAAGACAGATGCCGTCCTGTCGTCGCTAGCATTTACTTCAATAGGGTTGTAACCAGCGTGACGCGCAACAATGTTGGCCAACGTCGTTTTTCCCGCTCCAGGTGGTCCACAGATTAGAATAATCTTATTGAATGGTCTCTTATCCTCCTCGTCGTTGGTTTCAGTATTGCCGTTAGCTTGAGCATTTGAAGAGGCCTGATTCCACGAAGATATGTTTGGGCCTCCAAAAGCGTTCATCTTAGCAGGAGAAACTGGAGCTGCGCCATTAGCACGCCTTTTCCTCGGGAACACGTACCGGTCCCATGACTTGATCCAAGTGAGGACCTCACGGTTCGTTCGCTCGTCGCTCAATAGGTCCAAGAAGCTCTGAGGTTTGTACTTGTCCAACCACAGCACTTCGTTCGACATGTTGAAAGCTACATTACTAGCTGATTCATGCTCCTGAAGCAGAGCCTCGTCCTCTTTTGAAGCTGCTTCCTCAATTTCCATCTGCAAACAATCGTACGAAAGAACCAAATACTAAGTACACCGTCCAATGGAACATCCTGCAGCTAACAAACGTATCATACCCGCTGAACTGCTTCCATCATTTGTTTAATAGGGACAAGGGACTTCACTTCACTACGAACGGAATTGGAGGTAACAACCGCCGAATGCTGTCGCTTCTTGCGTAAAAACAATCTCTTTCCATCCTGAAGCACCACGGACAGCGAGTCCACATCAATAGGCGGTCGATTGTACAGATACTTGGCTGTGATTGTGTCTACATTTGATGCCACAGTCCGTTTCTCAGTGTGCACAAAGTCCTTAAGGCGGGATCCTGCTGTCTCCATCGCCACGTCTTCATCCCCGTCATCTCCCAAAATCATTGCACATCGTGACAATACTTGATCCAGTCGGCTCTGTACCTTCTCGAGACTGTCATCGGTCTTCTCTGCAGCGTTATCGCTCAAAGACTGTTGAATTACTGGAACTGGAGGATGCTGCTGACTCTTTTCTGCTTGACACTGCTCAAAAGACTCCATAGCACGCATCTCCTCATCTGCAGCCTCCATCTCATGAGCGTGCATAGCCTCCCACTCGTCCATTTCGTCAAATTCCTGCTCGTACGCGTAGCCATTTTCGTCCACCATGATCACACTTACTTCCTCGTGCAAAAAGCGCGCGAATGCTTTTCATTGGTCAATATTTTCTAAAAGTGCCGCATGCCAAATGTACTGAATTAAGGATAACTACTATTTTCTCAAAGTGCGCGTGCCAAATGTACTGAATTAACGAGTGTTACTAAATTACCAAGTTTAAATAGGTCTATCTGCTTCAAGCTCAGCTTGTTCTATAGACGACGATTGCGTCTGCTCAAGTTTACGCGCAAGATCATTGAACTCATTCATTGTATGCTGGAGTTCATTTTCACACGCAGTTAACACCTCCGATCGCTGTTGCTGCATGGTGCTTGTAATGGCCAATGTATCGAATCGTGCAAGCCCCTGCTCCACCAGCATGTCACCAAGAAGTGCCTCGGTCTGCTTCAATACGTCAGCACTCTTTGTCATATTGTACGACATCGCTATAGAATCGTGCTGATCGAACGTTCGAGCGTACAGGTCGTTCATCAGCTCGTCCGTGATTTTCTGAAACTTGAGCATCTGCCCTTCGTAGATTTTATTGCAGTGTTCAAGTTCTTCGATTCGTTCGTTTGCTCGCAGAAGCTGCAATACGCTTCAGTAAGTATCACAGAACCACATGAATGATTCCAATGGATGCTCCACCTGGTGTGTAAGCTTCTCGGCAGCGTATTGCTACGCAACAAAACACCAATTATTTCACTTGCCACATCCGTCACGACACCGACAATAAATCTAAAGCTAAACGAAACAATCGATACGCACCATCGAAGCTAGACGGCTTTTTGTCAGCAAATTTTCATTCAATACCAATGGCAATCCGGTTGATCCGACCAGCATCCGCTCTCTTTTCCACCGACGCTGCCGCACTCGAGAACTCGTGGACTGCTCACTACAATCACAGAAACACACCAGCCAACCATCACTAGCACACTCTCTATACCCATCTCACACTACTTGCATGTCCTCCCACCTACGACACCATTTGTTCATGTCGCGTGGCAATTCCCACGAATCTGCAGAGATCCATCCACTTTCGTCCGTATAGGCGTGAATATCGCACTGCCAGTCCGAGACCCACTCCCAGTTCTTCGACGGGAGCTTCACCTGGTTACAATCGATTCTTTAATCACGAAACAACAACTCGTGCAATCTTTATACCGCTGCTGCATGATAAACCAAACCTCATGAAACTGCATTTCCTCGCCACTGACGCGACACATCACAGGCAGCTCATTTCGTAAAGGATTGCCTCTTGATGACAAGATCTGATTCTCCAATAAAACCTCCTCAAATCGATACCAGTCACGAACGTTCTGAGGATTGCAATGACATTGAAAACGATTGTCACTTTCAGTAGCAGCAAGTTTTTCTTGATATCGCTGGATCAATTGCTCCATTGCCTGTAGCTCACTATACACGTCATAACGTTGTTATTCTTCACCTAATTATCACGTAATTAACGATTATAATGATTACGTTTCATACCGATAGAGTGCTTTGCACTCGGTCTCGAGTTGTTTCTCGCGCTTATTCATAATAAAGTAGCGGCTTTTCGATAAGGGCTACAGTATGTCCTAGCTTAAAAATCCTAATATAGACGGTCTTTATTTCAACCAATGAGTAATGATACATTTTTTTTAGTCGTCGTAACAATAAGTTACTGCGTAATTACGTGTTTAAAAGAGTTTTGATCCTGACAACATGCTAGCCAACCAAATTGGCTGAAGTCTTGAGGTGATCTCATTGTCAAGTCATTCTTATACTTGCTCGAGGCACATTCAATCGACAATCCAATAGTTTTTTAATCATTAAGTGTATGATTCAGCTTCTATTAAAGGGGTTTTCTCTCAAGTGATTACAAAATCAGATGACGAGTCTGAGGATGACGAGTGTTTTATTGCATTGCGTTCTGCTGTGCTCCGAGACTTCTCTAACTCCTAATGTGATGAACATTACGAGGCATTTGTATGATGAGATTTTATATTTTAGCTGTATTGAGTCTAAGAAATGGGTACATGTCAATGATGTATCAAAATATTTGCTACTCTCGATATACCTTTGGGTATTGTGACGACATTTATATATCACCAAGATCACTGAGACACCCCATTAGTTGTGTACATGTAGATCGATAGTTTATAAAGGCAATGACGAATGCTATAGGGACATCTGAGTTGCAATGGGGATGTAGTGTCTCTTTTTGCCTGAAGATATCATCTAGTGGAATCTCATTACCTGAGCCTTTTAATCAACTCTACATTTTCTTTGCGTTCATGACTAGCAAGCAAGCAACCAAAGTGTCAAATTCTCACCGTTCTTTTCCCGTGAGCAGTAGAAGCCGAATCTTTGGGACACCAAACTCGCGCGTGGACGTTTCTTGGCTTGTCATTGATCCTTCTAAGGAGGCAGCAGAAATGTTGTTAAGCAGGCTCAAATCTCTGTGTGAACATCTTAAGCAATCACTTTCATGTATTTCTTGTTGCGTGACTATGCTCCTCTTCATGTATGTAAATCTTCTGCACTTGTTTGAAACATACTTGCATTTTGAAACTTGAATACCTGCCATGGAAATAAACAAGACCGTTAGGTAGCTGTGTAGGAGATAGTAAAGCTGTATGTACATCCCTCGTTTCCAACGTTTGTCCAATTCGGTCGCAGCTCTCGAGCAAACAATTCTGCTTTTTTGTCGTTTGGAGAGACAGTGTCCTTGTCAAAAAAGCACTCGGGTGGTGGTTTCCAGGAATGACGCAATGGAATGCTCATTACAATTCGCATCTGTTCACCAAGGCGTTGGCGTAGTAGTTGTTCGTGTTTAAGGTCCTTTGCACGATACGCAACGACCAAGGTCTCGACTGGCAGGCGATGTGTAGAGTTCAATGGAGTCACTAGCTCACCGTTTTTGCTTAGCTTTAGCCAGTACCAACACGCATGGAAGGTAAAGCCCCATAAAGGCAGTGCTTGTTCACAAAGATACGTCATATAACGTGGTCGGTTCGTCACCCATACCCCAAGGACGCATTCGTCCGGGTCTGTAATGTGCGGGATGTTAATACTCAGCAACTCCGTATGATCAAACATGTCGTAGTGCTTTCCACGAGAGACGCTCTTGTTTTGCCAAGGGGGATCAATTACAATGAGCTTGTGTCTTCCAAGTGAGATTTGGCAGAGCTCTCGGACATCTCGCTGGGCAAAACTCGACCGAGGTGGCAGCAAGATCTTGGTGCCATTCACTGTAGCAACCTGTAGACGATCCGTTGGATTGCAATGGACGTTACCGTCATCCAGAACTTCATTTTCAGAGGCTTTTGGCAACGAGTTCAAAACATCTTCCAGTGTTGCTCGACTCTTGGCATTATTCTTACCGTCAAAGCTTGGTAAAAAGACGCGCAGCTCAAAGCGAGAGCCACCGAAACGCTCATAGGCGTCCGTTAATGCACTTTTCACTCGATTACTCAATGGCACAAACTTGTTTTGCGCGATGAGCTGTTCCAGACGCTCGGCCCGCCGCTGAGCCGCTCTTTTTCGTTTTTTTTGTCGTCGCAATGTCTCCGTTTGACCATTTATGCTGCGTAAGCGGAAAAAGGCAGTTGGTGGAATTTGGAGTGAGTCTTTGCACAGATCAAAGTGTCCTTGGAAGTATTTATTCACAAGCGCTGCATGGTTCACACATGACACCTTGGGCTCCATCAACCCAAAGTATTACTTTGACGTTACTTCACAGCTGATGATAGAGTATTATAAGATGATGATATACGTAGTAGTGCTGCATGATAGTACTATTAATGATACTGGTCTTGATAATTAGGACGAATAATACTTTAAAGTAGTAAAATAGCTTTGTATTTGTAAATGGGTGCTACATTGATTGAGTTTCTTCGTCTCGTGGTCACGCGTGATGATGTGGACGCCAAAAATACGTCGTATGAAGCACAATATTAATCATCTGACTTTTGCGACGCACTACTGAACAAGCGTAATGAGAATAATTCTCACATCATTTATGACTGGAATTACTTGCCAACGGTCTTGCAAACGAGCTGACTTTGCAGGGTTGGCTAGACATTGTCGATCACGTTGTGTAGTCCTTGACTCTGCTTATACCATAAGTTCAGTGACAAGGTGGTTATGCGCTTAAGCTGTGATTCTACAAAGCATTTGCACAAGACCGTAGTCGAAGAGATGGTTCCCATCACTCTCCTTCGACAATTTCCTGCTAGAGGCGTGACAATGACAAGCCGATACCGACGGATCTGAAGCACCATCATGCGTCTGTGCGCTAGAGTAGCTCAGCAAGTTGGCGTCGACCGGCTGCTTGGAGCAGTTGACTAGGACCGAATCAAACCATGAAACCAATCCAAATATTAATCTCATGCTGGAACGACCCTGTTGAAAAGTACTATTTGTGCACCTGCAAAAACTGACATAATAAGCACAATTTTGACAGTAGAACGCTAGGCTGTAGAATATGTCGATATCTGTACCGACTTCTGGCTTTATACAGCGTCCAACCTGATAATCCGTACAAAATCCGATCTTCCGGACACAATGGTCGCTTTTCAACCGATATTCCTTCGGTATCCTGTCGAAAACGATTCTAACGTAGCCATCACGTTATATGACCATGTCGTGCTATGTATGACATGTCCATATCTCTTGACGAGCTCATTTGCACGTCACAAACCACGACCAAAGCTATCACAACAATGCATTTCTACTGTAAATCCATGGCAAGATGCATCCGTGTCACGAAGAAACACACTGGGTATGGTGAGAAAGGTATTGATTTAATAGCAACAGGTACGAGCTGGAGAGGCGAAATCGAGAGGCAGTTGATGCGAGAGAACAAGCATCGCATTATCGGGGTGCGAAGAAATGAGCGCAGGTCAATTTTGCGTCACTCAAATGCCTTCGCTTTGCTCGCTGCATGGACGCGTAGCTTAGTACGGACGGTATCGATCCGAACGTCCACCAGAACCTCCTTGAGCACCACCTGAGCCTCCACCCTGACGGTATCCGCCGCCATATCCGTAGCTAGCAGCAGCTCCTCCTTGGCCTCCCTGAGCAGCTCCGTCTCCGCCGTATCCTGCTTCTTGTGCACCGGCACCTCCTTCACCACCCTCGCCATTTTCAGCACCAGTTGCAGCAGCACCACTTTCATCATAGCCACCATAACCTGGATAGCTACCATAACCGTAGCCGCCACGGCCACCTCCATAGCTACCATAGCCGTAACCAGCATACGACTGTGGGTACCCTGCATAAGCGCCGGCTCCGTAGGCAACAGCAGCGCCATAGCCAGTGCCATAGCCGCCGCCATAGCCGCCACCATAACCGCCGCCGCCGCCGTAGCTGCCACCATAACTGCTACCATATCCACCACCGTAGGTACCACCACCATAGCCGCCTCCACCAACGCTGCCACCGCCGCCTCCACGACCTCCACCTCTCCAGCCACCACCACGACCCCCACGACCTCCACCGTAGCCGCCGCCACCACCACCGCCACCGCCTCCACGCGATTCCTTGGGCTCCGCTCGCTTAATCTCGACGATTTTGCCGTGAATTTCGTGACTCTTGCTTATCACTTCAGCTACCGACGACTGCGCAAGAATAGAGCAAACCATCATGTGTGAGCAACCTATAGACTCATACTACAAGCACACTCCGACATACCTCTTCCTCAAAAGTGATAAAGCCGAATCCGCGTGAGCGCTGCGTGTCGCGATCGATCATTACCACAGCGTCCGTGGTCTTGCCAAACTCTTCAAAGTAGTGACGAAAGTCCTGCTCGGTCACAGTGGGAGCGAGGCCGCCTACGAAGATTTTCTTTTGCTCCGTAAAGCCGCCGCTGCTGAATCCTCCGCGTCCGCCGCCACGAATTTCGCTACATTACACCAAGAGTACGGTCACGAGAGAGGGGAACTAATGTTAGTATAGGTTATCACTTTAGGCCAGGGTCGCGTGCGGTCTGCTGGGTGCTTCGGATCAGTTTACATGTAAAAATCGACGCCAAAGCCCCTTCCACGGGAGTGGATGGAGAAGGGCTGGACGGAGAGAGTGAAGATCGCGCGTGAAGGGCGAGAAGATTGCGAACAAACACCATTGATCGTGTTGAGTAGAAATTCTTGTCTGCTTCTTGCTCTCTGTCTCTGTCTGTCTCTGTCTGTCTCTCTCTTCCTGCCCTTCTTCCTTCCTGCTTTGCGATTCTTTTCTTTCGAGTAAATAAAGTGTAATATACAGCAGCCAGCTTTGCACCCGGCCCGTCCGTCAACTGTGCACGTAATGGCAAGTTACTAACCTAGAGCCTGGGGCCGTCCTCTCTCGTGGAATGGCTCGCTTAACTTCAACTGATCGACCATCCAGCGTATGCGTCTCTTCCAGTACACGATCAATAGCTACAATAAGCATATCACAACCAACACCATATCACTAATATTAATACCAACAAAATAACAAAAGAGAGAGAGAGAAAAGAAATAAAGTTTCCAATCTCATTTGACAGCATCAATACCTGATGCATCAGCAAATGTTACAAAGCCAAACCCTCGTGGTTGACCTGTATACTTGTCCTTCATCAATGCAGCATCCGTAAGTGGTCCATATTTACCAAAATGTTGACGTAATGTATCTTCCGTAGTTTCCCATGATACACCACCAATAAAAAGCTTTCCTGGTTGTGTACTCGTGCCATTCTTGTCAAATCCTCCATGATGTTCCATTTGTTGGTGTAAATGTTGTCCAGTGGTCTGATTATAGTCAGTATAACGTCCTTCATCATGTAATTGTTGTTGTTGTTGCTGCTGAAGTTGAAGCTGTTGAGCTGGAGGTTGTTGCATTTGATGAGGAAGATCCAAATCATCGGGATTTCCAGCAAGTGCACGAATATCTTCATCGTCTTCAACCTCATGACTTGATGCAGTCATTATTGTACTTGAATGATGGTCACTTGTACTTGGTTCATGATCACTTGATCCCGTGGGTTCTTCTTGTTCGTATACGACGCCTAGTCCCTCCATAGCGAGTAGCTTAAGTCTCGATTTTTCAACCTCTTTTTGCAAAATGTATATTGTATAGATTATTCCTCCCTGAACTTAGCTCTCCCTCCAGTCTTCGATATCGTAATTTTTATCGAATCATCGATAGGTGTAAGAGATATTATAAACCAATCAAATGTCTTTTTTTATATACATCCTACGACGTCTAGAAGATAGAGGAGACACGTGACTTTAATCAATTAGAGTACTCTATTACATAGTAGAAGTTATAGCATACAAAGTGAAAAGTTACAATTAGAAGATAAAGAATTGCTGACAAGACCATAAAAATGTATAATTTCTTACTTGAGCAATAAGTCTCGGCATTGCAGGAGAACAATCGACAAAATCAAGCGACATTTATCGAGTCAGTCGAATCAGATCCCGACACTGACAGCATTTTGTCACTCTTTTACAACAGGTAACAGCAGACCAATCAGCGTTTCCATTCAATTTTTAGACGCTCTCCATGACAATATTGGGGGGATAAGCACTGCCTCCTTTCAACAATCTGATCGAGTGTTGTAGATGTCGCAGTCGATCAATCAGTCCCTTCATCACAATGTTCCTCTCATAGACTTCCTATTTCATAGAATAGCACCACAAAGATAAGAACTTTCACCCCAACAATCCACAACCAACCAACCAATATCTCTCTCTCTCTCTCTCTCTTATACCTTGCGTAATTGATTCCTCCTCGTGATCATGTTGGCCATCACATTGTCCTGTATCATCAAAATCCATCAAATTAATGCCAAAAACAACGACCATATCTTATAACCTGTAATACTTGATATCACCTTTTCATGTAATCCCACCTCCATGTTCTTCTTTTCCGTCTCTTCAAGAGCTTCCAAGAGCTCCATACTGAGCTTCATATACTGCGTCTTGAGCGTTGCAATTCTCGTATATGTGTCCTGTATCTCCTCGGGTAAAAACGGGACCACAACACATTGACCCTGTCCACTTGCGTGTGTAGGAGCACCACCTCCAAAGGCTGCAGTCAGGCCGTTCACGTCTCCAAGCGCCTCGTCCTGCGGCGTCTCCGTCTCGGACGATGGCGATCCAGGAACGACCACATCAGCAGCAAATAACTTGGACATTGGACGCAATGGTGGCTTAAGATTCATATGTTTGGTCTCCTCTAGAACATGATACGCAATGGCCAATAAATGCGAGAGCATTTGCAAGTTATTCTTCCCTTCGCTTGGCTCCATATTCATTGTTACGTGAATGTGGAACAGGTTGACTTGAAACGGTGTGAATTGTGTGTGTGCTCTTTTACATAAGTTTTACATCTTGATGTTATGATGTAAAAAAGAGAGATTTGGTCGTAGACTAAAGTAACTTCTCAGCTACAATATACCTGAAGTACCTGAAGTAGTGCTTCATCGTACTCTCTGAACAAGGTTAATACTATCAACAAGATATGCTCTTCTTCTCTCTGATTATCTGATTGTACTCATAAGATTGTTACTTTTCTGTATACATTCGTAGCTCTATTCATCAAGTTTCCAAGTCTTTAACAAATGTACCACGAGTTTGTACCCCAAAGGACTGCATCGGGAATCAATTCGTGTATCGAATCAGCTTTACTTTAGGCTGTTTCTTTACCTTAACAACACTATTGAGTTGTACAATAGCTAAAGAATACGAGAATCTGTGGTGTTTTCTCTTTTTTCAAGTCCCATTTTTCCTCGGGATGTTGATCACGTCGCTCTTTGTTTCCAACGGTAACAACTTCCGTCAGAAATAATCATTGTTGCTTGTATACATGTACATTTTGTTGATTCTATATAATACTGACGTTCTTGTTTATTTTTTCTATAGATTTCTATAGGTTTTTTTAAGGGGTATGTCGACATTGTACGTGTAGCATCGGCGCTGTTTCTTATTCTGCAGATTATCATCATTGTAGACTCGAGTTGTACGGAATTGTCACGTCTTTTGCTCGTGTCTTTTTGTTCAGCTCTTTTCTGATTGCTATTGAGATACGATCATTGCAATTGTAGATAGTTTACGGGACTATATTCTGGACAAGATGGATGAAGCAGATCGTGACGAGGATGCTCGTTACATGCTCTTGGGAAGTAGCTTTGACTCAATACAAGGAGGCAGATCGACAAAGACCATGTGGTGAGACCACGAGAATGAAACGTGCTTGAGGACGTACTTGCTGATGCTTGTGTATTGATGTAAAATGCAGGGAAGGAGTGTACATGACCTTGGTTCTCATTTGCATGGTGTTGTCCATCGGGGGAACTGTTTTAATGTACATGTACTATGCAGAGTGCGACTTGAACATTCTGTTTGTCTCGATAACACTGCTATCGATGATTATTCTGACTGTATTGAGCGGTACGTACTGGTATGCCTGCACACGCTCTTGTAAATCACAGAGCTCTAAGATCATTTATTGTAGTCGTGGCGTGGGTGAATGTGGGGCTTCTGCCATCGACTGCGGTATCTCTTTACCTCATGGTATTGTGCTATCAGGCAGTTCGAGCGAACCCAAGTGCGGCGGCATGTGTGCCGTCATCTTTGTCAAGCCACGAGAAGGCTCAGAATCAATCAGGCGTGATAATGAACTCATTGATTGCAGCGCTCACGATTACCTGGACGAGCTGGCGAACATCAGCGACCAGTACACCCTTTTTCGGCTCGTCAACTGTGTACAAGCAGTCTGACAACACACGCGATGAAGATGACGAAGAGCTAGCGAGTATTGGCCTGACATTTGCTCGTATAGGAGAGGAAGATCATTCTGATGTGCAGGTCGTATCTGACTACCAATTCCACGTGCTCATGGTACTGGCGTCGCTGTACATGGCAATGGTTCTTACAAACTGGGGAAGCTTCGACGGGTAACGTTACAATATGCGCAAAAAGTGGCTGTTGGAAGGAGTACTAACATTTTTGTCGTTGCAGATCTTCGTCGAATGGTGACGCGATAGTTACAATGTGGGTCAAAGTGATCTCGCAATGGGTGGCATCAGGGCTTTTTCTTTGGACACTCGTGGGACCTGCAGTATTTCCCGATCGTAATTTCTCGTAAGCGTGGAAGAGAGGTATAACTTTCGCGTAAGCTGTGACAATGCGTAATTAATGGATATACGAAACTACTACGGTGCAGTTCTTAGGTTGCTTGCAATACCACCAACCATCTCGGATTCAAAAGACCTTTCACGCGTGGAATTCTGTACCGGATGCTTCAAACGTAAACAGCACTTTGTACCTGAGTGCTGTAAAGCGGCACTTCTCGAGGGTTGGAAGAAGCATTCATTACTTGCTTCACTGCGTCCCAGCTCTCCGGTAACTTCATTTCTTCCTTACGCGCGGACAACCCACACAAGTTAGTGTACATTTTGCATTGTCATTTCCGGGTTCGTGGGTCAACTCGCTGCCGCTTTCGACGCCCGGAGCCAGTGCGAGTTTTTCCACTTCCTCGCTGTCTTGTTAATGTATTTTTCGCAACTCGAAGCATTTGGCCTCCACACATTATCCCATTCAATTTGCGCTGGGCCTCCAACGCCTGTGCCTCGTTTGAAAAATGCACCATATAACCAGTCGTTTCTGACTCGGCAACGGTATCTTTCTCAAATGATACTACTCCAGGACAATCCTGAAATGCACTGACCAACGTGACAAGCTCTAGCGGCTCGCTGGTCGATACGTGGATAGAACAGGAGACCTGGTTGTTGCAATTTCTCTTAGCATCTTCGGCGTCCATTTGCTCCGACGGGGAAAAAAGCGGTTTAGGAGACACAGCAAAAGAGTCAGGTCCCCTTGCCAAGTTATCAACAACAGGTAGTGCCATTTCTTGACCAAGTACGCACGACATCGGATACTGTTGAGCTCCATCTTGATAATACGGTACAGTTTCCATCCACCCAGATGCGTTTCCTACAAATTGTTGATGCTGAAGTGGTTGTTGTTGATAGTTGTTTCCTGGCCAGAAGTTAGCATACGCTTGAAAAGATTGTTGTGGGGGAGGAGGTGGGGGATATGTCACGTATTGCATCGGACAATGGTCCCGCCCGGTAGATAAACCCATATGAAATTCACCAGGATGCGGCGGATATACGCCTGCTGCCATTGGTGATGATTGCTGGTCACCCGGTGTAGCCCCTCTAGGAAAAGGCAGGCTAGCATAGTTGTGAAAATACGGTCCCTCCCTTGTGTATGGCAGCTCAGTACTTCGCATTAGATGCGCAAAACGCGCCTCAACAGCGCGCAAATCTACATCTTCAGATGACCCCGTTACAACTCTTTCATCTGCAGCATAATCGAGCCGCAAGGACTCGTGGGTACCAATCGAGTTGTTTCCATGAGTGGTGCTAAACAGGCTCGGCGCTAGAATCACAATTGCCTGTAAGAACTTGCCGGAACCTAGAGGTAACTCCATTTGATGAAGCTGAAGCGCCGCTTGTGTAGCCCTTGTGTCAGAGTCAAACTTCGCAAAAGCCACTCCTTGTGCCTCGCCGGTACTCTTTACAACCTTAATATCCATGAATTCCATCCCCGGTAATGACGAAACCACCGACGACAGCATGTGAGTCGCTAGAAACCGATCGTACAACAGTAACACCCAAAGGCGATCTTTTCCAACTGACGGAAGGCTTGTCAGTGTCGACGGCACAGACTTTTTTGGTAGACTGGGATGTAAGCTAGATGAACAACCTAGCGCTCTTTCAGCGTGCAATTGTGCCGGTTTCTCTCGCTGCTGCAATTGTAACCCACCCGTTTCGTGTGCAAATGATAGCTAGCAGCATGTATCACGTAACTTCTTGTTAGTAGGATGCATGCCATGTCGTTATGAATACGTTCACGTACTGTCATAAATTCAAGCCGTTCCGGGTCTGCGTCCCCATGTGATGATTCCTCCCGAAATGATTCGACGACGAATGCTGCAGTGCAAGGCTATCACGCACATATACATGTATGTATCATCAGACTGGTTCAACAATGCAGATTGAGTCTTGGGGCAGTCCCTAGCAGCAAGATCACCTTTGAATAACGGATATAAGCCATAGTTTTGACGCGGCCAAAACTCCTGACAAGTTGTGCGGATTCAAAATCACCGTATACCACAAACATTGCTTCCAGTTCCTGCTCCGTAAACTGCAGGAAGTAAACTCTATCAGAAGCACCCAACAGACAGTAGTGAAAAAATGATAGTACGACAGGACAGTACCTTGTACGTCGACGTGAAGAATAGCTTGGTTCGTGCCTGCTCAGTTGACTCCAATTTAAGTTGGAGCTTCATGCCTCGATCCTCTCCATATCTCTTATCGATATCGGTTATAATGGGTCGAGCATGCCCCCGATCTACCATGAAACCATCAGGAGCGCGCCTCTCCTGAGTTGCCTGCTGCTTCGCTAATCGATATGGCTCCTCAATTTCATTGTCCGACGACTGTCGTTTACACTGCTTTTTCGGCGCTATTTCGGCTGTCAATGCGTCGGGTGACACGTCACTGCGGTCAAGACACTCTCCCGGTGGGGAAAATGGCTGGGATTTGGCACGAATATGAGCCGTAAACGTAGTATGCGAAGGTGACGTTGTAGTATTGCTTCTTTTGCGGCGGACGCCGCTGCCATCAGATGCATCTCCTGTGCTCGATCCACTGCTATCTAAACTCTGTCGTCGCCTGCGCAAGTGATGATTCGGGCGGCGAAGTGCCACTCCTTTGCTGTTTCTTGTTGTCGCCCTAGGTGTTTGTGGCGGATCGAGCAGAGATCCTCGAGCCGTCATTCGTTTTGATACTAACGACACTGATCGAATACTTGATGCCAGTGACTCTGTGCTATTTTCGCCTTCAGCCTCTTCCAAAAATCCAACCCTGACATTTCCAGCTTCCTTCTGTTTACTTGCTCGACTTGGCATCGATATCATCTGCTGGTACGTTGTAAACAACTGACCGCTGCTTGCTTCGGAGCACGCTTCGTATTTCTCCACCGCAAGTAGCATAACACGCATCACTTGCTCCACTTGTTTTAAATCCACATCAACTTTTATCATTTCCTCGTCACCGACTTCTGCAGGTGATAATGGCAGCTGACTCGTTCTCATCGTTTTCGTTTGTCTATCCTCCATTTTGACACCATCAGCTTGGAAAGCTGGAAGTGGATACTTTTCCAGCAAATGTGACGATGTCACTCGACTCGGTCCCAATGGCAAAGTGACAACGGACCGACTCGATCGTTGTCGTTTTCCCGGCAGTCTCACCTCACTTCCTCCATCATCTTCTCCAACTTTTCCCTCTATTTTCTCGTCCAAATCTTGTCGTGCGTGTTGATCACGCTTTAATTTGCCATTTCCACCACCTACAGGTCGCTCCTTGGCGACAGTTACCTGTAAAATTTAATACTCAATAATTCTATCAGATCCATCCCAGTTTTATTGCAATAGAATAACACGTCCAAAAAAGTGTCCACCTTGAGAATATGTCCATCGTCCAACTTGATATGGTCCAGTTTTTCCATGGCTACAATGGCATGAAGAGGGTCTTCATACTGTAAAAAGGCAAATCCCTGTGAAAATGAATATTTTATTCATTTTCAAAAACGTTACAATGAGACTATTTTCAGCCATTGATAACGTATAACCTCTATAATTTAATACCCGTGACTTTTTACTACGATCCAGGGCGAGATGCAGGTGTTTAATGGCACCACACGTAGAAAAGAGCGTCCGCAATTCATCGACTTGACGATTCCGACCACATACAACAAAGAGTCGTCCAGAACATGGCGATTCTTGTGTCCTTTTTTCCTTCATTGCCATTTGCTGGGACACCGTAAGAGGGCCATTACTTTTGTCGTCCATGCGAACTTTTAGTATGACAAAGGAACGATTTATAGACTGCAAACGAGCGAATAAGAGAGGGTACGACACTTTTTTATGTCGTCAAGAGTAAGAATATTCTAGAAAAAAGGGAGGAGGGTTTTCAGTGGTCGTACAGGCTGTACCTATAAAGTGTACGTACAAAACCCCCCGCATCAAATACCGGTATCATATCGGTTATACCCACGCCTCCTCTCGGTCACTAAACCCAGGTGTACATACCCCTATATTTTCCGTTTCTGTGCATAAACGGTACCAAAAACGGAGCCACGTCCGACAGGGTCCATTTATAAAGCACCAAGAGACGACGACACGTGATGATGACAGCAACCATGCGTCCTAATACAGTAAAATTTACAGTGCGTCTATTGGACGATATCGGGAACAAACACGTTCTTTGTCTGGTGGGCAACGTAGTGGAACTCGGTGCTTGGGACGTGGCAAAAGCAGGTACGTCGAGCACTTTTAATCTTGATTTCAGTATACTAGTTAACCCCCTTTTGTGTCTATTATTATTATAGTACCCATGGACCTCGTCGACCACAATGCAACTGAAAACAGATGGTGCAGAATGATTGCGTTTGAAGCCATGACCAACACTCTCGAGTACAAATATGTGGTAGTACACAAACAGACTTACGAACTCGTCTCATGGGAAGGACTTCCAGGGAATCGGATACTTACAATTGCAGCCCAAGGACTACAAAATGTTGCATTGTAAGTAGTTGTTTGGTTATATGGAGTGGATTGTGTCATCTTTACATTCTCGTGGTGGTGTGATTATCTATTTAGACGAGCTCCTTCAAGTCAGAGTTCGACGTACATGACGTCACGTGCTCCGGTTCCTGGATTACGTCATGCAGAGCTTGGAAATAATGGACATATCAATGGATTTCAAGAGTGGCGCTGTTGTCGTACTAATAAAGAGACAAACCCGTGGTGGGAAGTGGATTTGGGACAGGATTACGTCATCTCTAGCATTCACTTGTGGAATGCCATGACGTATCATGAACAAGCAAGACATCCCAATGGTCGTCCACCACGAACATCCAAGTCATCACCTGCGTCTCCATTGTGGATTTTCATCTCAAAGGAGCCTTTGGATCGTGGAGCAGATTCATTGAAAGATGCACAAGCTAAAGCTGAGGTGGATCCATCTTGTGTGCGTGCCATTGAGGTGGAAAACTTGTTTGGTAGTCGCGTGACATCGCTGAAGTTTAGTTTAATAAGTTTACGTGGTGGTGACAACTCAAACGGGGTCAATGATCCTCTTGTGCAAGCATCAGAGCTTCCACCTGCTGAGGGACGCTACGTACGACTGCAGTGTGCTGGCAGCTCATGCGCTTTGCAGTTTGCTGAGCTCGAAGTGTTCACGCAGGATGTTGTAAACGACAACGAGATACTACAGCAAGACAGTTCGTGCATCACACGCGACGATGGATTCTACGGTGTTCCTACGGCTCTGGACGCAGATCTGTGCGAGTATGTTGAGAGTGGTTGGCTCGACCCTGCAGTCAATGTGGCGGAGTTAAAGGTATGGATTGGTAGCTTTGATTCTGCTAAGCCATCCATCCAGTGGCTGGGTGGCGAATCAGAGCACAGTCGTGTGGCGATTGAGATGCAATTTGAAAAGCAAATGACGAGTGACCATCAAGGAGGGCAGAACACTTTGTGTCAGAAGCAAAGCAATGGTTCGATTGTCAAATGGGAGCCACTCCCCGTAGAGTCCAAAAGTGCAGCTTTGCTAGACAAAGAGTCAATGGAGCTGCGTGATCTTTTGAAAACACACCAGCAAAAGGATGATGCTGACTTGTCAGCATACCTAAACAACGACCCGACACATTTAAAAACAGGGTCAGCTGGATTGTCCTGGCTTTTGAGATTAGCATTTGTGCAATCGCTGGAGGAGTCGGACATGAAGACTTTATCTTGTCAGGTCGCTACACGGAAGTACAAGAAGGGCGACAGTATCTTACAGTATGCGGAACAAAAGCGTGCTGTTTTCTATATTACGTCGGGTGAGATAGAATTGCTTGGACCGGGATCATCGATGGGTTCGAACCTCATTGGATCGCTTCAAAAGGATTCTATCTTCAATGAGATGGGAATCTTTGGTGGTTGGTCTAAACAACCAGCATTGTTTAAAGCGAAGGATGAAGTGGTGTGCGAAGTGCTCGAGTTTGAGACTCTCCTCACAGTTCTGGGAACGAGCAAAGTAGCTTCCATTCGCAACGGTTACACACGTAGCCGACACAAGGCGATGTCTCCATTCAAAAAGAAGGAGATACACTATCTGGACAGCACACATGCCCAAACATTCTGTGTCAAAGTACCTGTGTCCGCTGTGGACGGGAGCAGAAATTGTACCAACGGGCTTCTTCGTCGCTGGACATTTGATGTTTACTACTGCCAGAAGGATGCGCAGTCGGGCACCCCGACCAAAACCAAACTCTTGGGATCAGCTTATCTTCTTTCGTCGCAGATTGACAAGCAGGGGGAATCGGACCTAACTATCCCGATCTTTTCCGTCAAAATGGATATTGTCGGTCAGCTCTCATTGGCATACTTAGTTTTGACCCCTTTCGTCCACCCGAAAAACAACATCGCAAATGTTTGGCGCTCCTACTGGCGCGAACGGCCTCCGCTTACAATTGGGCATCGAGGTATGGGAAGGTCATATTACCAGGTGGACGGATATCGTCTCGCGTTGATCCGTGAAAACACACTGGCGTCGTTTATTTTGGCTGGACGGAGTGGTGCAGATTTCGTGGAATTTGACGTCCAACTGACAAAAGACAGGGTGCCAGTGGTCTACCACGATTTTACGGTGAATGTTGCTTTTGAAGACAAGAGCGCAGGATCATTAGGTACAAAACCCGAGATGTACGAGATTGGCATTCATGATATATCGTTTCGCCAACTGACGCAGTCTCATACGACCCCAGTACCGCACAAGAAAAGCAAGAACCAAGTGTTGCAAAACCGAGTAAAAAAACATTGGGCACGACTTCAAGGAGACAAGCAGGTTCCATCACCAATACGCGGACCTTTCAAAGAAGACAACAGCATTGCTACCGAAGAGGACCATCTGGTAGAATTCTTTCCCCGACTCGAAGATTTGCTTGTGCATGTTCCTGTGGAAGTCGGTCTGAACATTGAGATCAAGTACCCAGATAAGTTATTGCGTCCAGCGATGCACAGCTTAAGTAGCTTCGCCATCAACGACTACATCGACAGGGTCCTCCAGTGTGTTTTTGACTACGCCGGCTCGCGTCGTATCTTCTTTTCGTGCTTCAACATGAGTGTCTGCGTCGCACTTCGCGCAAAGCAGGCCAAGTACCCTGTCCTCTTTCTGACGTATGGCTCTATGGCTCCGAATGCAATGGATGCGCGCATGACGCTTCAATTTGCCATTAACTTCACCAAAATGGAAAACTTGCAGGGTATTGTGTCGAACTCCAGCGCGTTGATCGAGACACCGGAGCTTATACCACTTGTAAAGAAATATCTCGGCACCGTGCTTATCACGTGGGGTGACCAGAATACGAATCATGAAATGGTGCAGCTACAAAAACGTCACGCCATTGACGGTGTCATCAGCGACAATGTCATTGATCTCCTAAATCAAGACAAAAAACTGCTACAGCATCTGGACTAAACCAAGACGTTCCGAGCTGTTGCAACAAATGGGTACGCAATGAAAAGCACATTGGCAGCGGTGGCATCAAGCGTTAAAGAGTCATTAAAATGCCACGTCTTGAGGTTGGTCTCATTATACCTGCAGTTACTATTGGGATTATGAAAACCTGTTGCTCCTATAAAAAACCGTCATTTATTAATATTTGACGCCCATGATAACGTGAAAACGGTAATATATGTATTTCTAGCATTTCGAAAACTATCATTATGCCTATAATAGCGAATGATCATTTTCTCACTTGGTCCTCCACTCACTATGATGTAGTATTACAACCCACTATAAAATTGTTTGCTACAAACCTACATACAGTCATCATCCTCCTTTTTCGCATTTCTCAACGGCTTGAAACCCTCTTCTTCTTCTTCCAATGCTATACTCTCCATCAAATACCTTTTCACTCGCCCCATGGAACGCAGCTCAAGTCCCGTACGTGATTGTGCCAGTCTCTCCCCATTGGAACATCAAAAACGCCATGCTCTTCTTCACAAGATCACGCAATTTGAAACAAAAGGGGCAATTCTGCCCATAGATGCACGGACATTACGTCATCAGCTTCACGACAGTACAAGCGGTCAATGGAAAGCCGTGGAAAGGCGTTTACAGCAATTGGCATTGAATTGGAACCCCTATCAAGATTGCAAGAATTTCACGTGTCGAAAGAAGACTTTGAAATTGAATTTCTATGAGCTTTTAGCACTGGAAAAGGATGGAAATGTCGATACAAACGACATTAAACGGCAGTTTCGAAAACTGGCCTTGCTGTTGCATCCTGATAAGATGAGGAGGAATTGGAAAAAGGATGGGAAAGTGGAAGAATTGGATGAAAACAAGCGGCAGGAGGTGGACGTGACACAGTTTGCACGGCTGAGATTGGCCTACGAGACGCTGAGTGATCCGAAGAGACGTGCAGCGTACGATCAGAAACTGCTGGAAGCTTTACAACCACAAATTGGTCCTGTAGTGAAGGACCAAGTGAAACTAGAAACATCGACGGACTTTGCGTCCTTGGAGTGGATGGCACGTGTCAAACACAAGATGGACGTAATGGAACGGATTGCCGAATGGGCCAAGTTGTTGCGAATGAATCCAACGGAATTACGCTTTGAGACTGGTGAGCCATGCGCTGGAAAAAAATGTGGTAAAATTGTGAGCATGGACCGAGATTTAGAGTGCTCCGGGTCGCCACGCCGTCGTGTGTACATTTGCTTGTTGCACAAGTACATCCACGCATGTGATGAAACTTGCACAAGCTTATTTGGTGATGCCGAGCTGGATCGACGTGTGTGTCCGATGCGAGCGTATTGGCTCATCCAAAATTGGCTGTTCGATCAGTTGCAGATTGCAACGCTTCAGCAAGAGCAAATGCAGCAATCGCTTAACTCAACAGCTAATGAAAGTGAGGGTGGACAGCCTGTGCTAAAGAAAGTGAAGCACGAAGCTGATTCCGATCCTCCTGTTGCGCTGAATAAAGAGACTACGGTGCCGGTGATATGCGGATTCAAGCCATCGGAAATTTATTTGGGCGATCAGTACACTCGCTTTCAGGTTGAGAAGATTGCAGAGTGTCAGAGTGACGTGTGCCGAACGAACTTCCAGTTTTTGGAAGACGGTATATATGCTTGTCGTCGCCACGGAACGCCTCACATCTGTACGTTTGAGCAGTGTGATCGACAGGAGTTACGCATGGGTAGTTACATTTGCTGGGTTAGCGGTATCGTTTACGGTCGTGAACGGGAGCAAGTGGGTACGGACGTGCGTACACGTCGCATCGTGTATTTAGATGCGCAGGCTGACGAGAACTCCGTTGAAATGGAAGTTCCTGTAATGCTGCCGTTGGGCAAAGCAACAGGGTTTCTATTGGAAGGAGACCCTTCTTGGCAGCACTCTAGCGATATGTCGTCACTATCGCCACCGCCACCAGACGAGAAATTGTGGAGCAAGCGGCCACGTGCGGACTCTAATGAGCCTGCGTATGACAATCCATCGCCGAGGCGCGAAGTACGAAAGAGGTTTAAGTGCGACCGAGAAACGTCACCGGTGCGCAAGCGCCTACATGAACGGTTGACATCGAAAATTGAGCGTGCAAAGTCAACGTCGTTTCACATTTTTCTCAAGCTCCCTCGTGCTGTTGCCATCTTGCCAAAGGTAGCACTGGAGCTGGAAGAAGTTGTGGGTAGCTCAGATGATGAAGAGTTTGCAACCAAAACTGCTGCTACTCGTAGCAAGAAGAACTTGCTGCAGATTTTTCTGCACGCGCGTCACACAGTGAACTACATCAAGTACTGGGTAGAAGAGCTTACGGAGCAGCAACTATCCGTTTGGGACCAACAGATATATTGGGATGGCACCTTAATCGGGGAAGAGGCAGACGTGATGGTCCTAGAAGAGCATGGCATATCGGCGGGTTGCATACTGGAACTACGCCTTCACGATGACTGTCCATTGCTGGTATCTACCTGGAATGGCAAAAGTGCAGCATCTGGAGATGGAGGGGGTGCTCCTGTTGAGTATAACACTGTACAGATTTCGAAAGAGGCGGAGGAAGATTTGAATGATCTTCACGAAGAATGGAAGAATGTCGTAGTGGCTGAAGAGCAGGCTTTCGAGCAATCTCGTCTTAAACATGAGCGTGAAAAGCTGGAACTTCGTGGTGCTATAGGCCATACAGAAGTGCTTCGGTATTACAACGCCAAGTCAGCACCTCGACTAGTTGGCGTAATCCAAAAGCGAGCCATTGGTAATGGCACCGACGGCATGCAAAAGCGGGAACTATTTCCACCCAGTGTAGATGCTATAAGGAAATGTGAGAAGGAGGCAGCTTTGGTGTCGATCAGGAGCGACATTTTGGTAAATGAAGAGCAAGAACAAGTCCTAAAAGGGATTGAGGCGATGCGATCATTGTCGAACGACGCTCAACCAGTCAAAGGAGTCAAGAAGGCGTGGACAAAGCCAGAAAACAAGTAAGTCTGCTATTTGCATTTCTACATTACACATCAATGAGAGAAGCAAAGACCTGTCGGCATCTTTCGAAAAGAGACATCGTGATAGCCGTGGATGGAGCATGAAATGCAACGCGCGCTCCAGCTCCTTTGTATAGTGCCAACACGCCCTCCGTCCTACTCACCGAAACAGAAGCATCACACCGATGAATCAATCCTTGTAGCTAGGACGACGGAAGGCGATCAAGCACTAGACCGACATGTTACCTGATCAGTTGTGTGAGGCCGTCGATGATTCCACGATAGACTGCAGGGCTTGCTTCCGTTGCGTATGCATGTTGGACCTAGTGTGCATTCACTCTATTAACAACGATGACATGAGGAGGATTGAAAATACAAGGCGTACCTGAAGTCGTAGTTTAATGAGGTCCAATGGATTGGTGAGAAATGATGCCGTAGCACCAGCAACTGCAGCACTTGCGAGTGTATAATGTGCTGGCAAGTCTTCTAAATCAAGTCGCTTCGTTGCAAACGTCTTGGCCTTTTCATAAAACATAAAGTAGAGCGCCGAGAACGGCCCGAAAGATAGTAGCGTTGCAAAATAGCCCTTGTACAGACTACCGAGATGCTCAGTGCGTGCAATTGTCTGCACAGCGTCGAGGGTGTTGCGATAGTAGATTTTCTGCACAGTCTTCACTGCATCTTTCGACTGCCCTTGAACTTGCATGCGTTCCTTAATCACGTCAATGGGCACCCAAAGTCCACAACTCACTGCTTCCGCTGCAAGTCCTGCCCCTAAATAAAGCAGTGATGGGTTTTCTCGAAAACTCTCGACTTTCATTAGCACGTCCTTTGACATCTCGTATGACGTCATGTATAAACAAGTCGCTGGTGCTGAGCCGACGATACTCACCCCAATGCCTCGATATAGTCCCTGCACCTGTCGTATACTATATAAAAAAAACTTCATAATGAAATGCCCATTATTTACTACATCATATAATTATTCTACCACGTACCGACCTCAATGCTCGAAAATTCAATTGAGACGTAATAGTGTGATCCCTAGATGTATTGGCTTGTAATCGAGCTTTGACAGTGTCCAGTGGATGGCACAAGACACGACTAATCATTCCAGCTGTAGCACTACCCTAATTTATAAAAAATAGTAACAAAGAAAATAATACAAATTGTCAACATAGTAATACGAGATCGTGTAGCTTTGGAAAAAAAAACATTGAGACTGTAGTGATCGAACCAGAAGAGTCGGGAGTTGACTCTCGGACTAAGAGATGGAATCGAATAGTAGTACATTGGTTAGTATTACTACAAGTAACGGGCTTCGAGACGGACGTACTCACCGCCGAACTTCCATCGTTGTGCATTTGTATGATTTGTATGAGCACTAATATTAAGTGACTATGTGAGTATTATCTTAGCTCATAATATTCACAAATATTAACCTCAATAATAATATTCAACAATATTATCTCTTCAGATATTTTTGTCATCGCATCTCCTTAAAGTCCTTCCTACTGGCTACTAGAGGCCATGAGATCAGCTAACGCGATGATGAAATGAAGAACGCGCGCAATGAGTGGAGAGCAAGTAGTCAACAGATATAGTTGTAGCTTAATATAATCAAGAGAAGTTATAATAGATTAGTTTTATTAGATAAGCTCAACAATATTAAATACAGTTCTCTTTTTTTACAACTAAGTGTAACGGGGTGAGCCCGTTACACAATATTGACACTTATATGAAGTGTCAATAAAAATATTATTATAACTAATAATATTTTGACAATATTACCTTTTCCAATAATATTGTTCCTAGATCTCCTTGAAGTTGGAGATGCCCTCTCATTGGTTGATATGGGCCGTCCTTTTAACCAACGCGCTGACCAATGACCGATGAACGCGCGCAATGAGTGGAGGGCAAGTCGTCAACATACATAGTTGTAGTTTAATATAGTTAACATAGGTTATAACATATTAGTTTTATTAGATAATTAACTATATTAAATACAGTTTTCTTTTCCCTTTCAACTAAGCGTTTGTTTAGTTGATAAGCTTCCTCTGCTCACGTATACGTGAGGTTCTGAGGCACCTGCTTTCACTGTAATCAGTTAAAGTAGACTATACTGTAATCAGTATAGTCGGAGGGTGCCCCATTACACCTGGTAGCACTTCGTGGTCCGTTCAGCGACCACCGCACCATCCGCTATGGAATTGTGGTGGAGTGGATTCTCAAACGACGTGAGAGAACCACAAACACACACAGCGCCGGACTGCCGACTTACGGAGGGGTTACCCCGATACCGTGTCGCGTCAACCTTGGGTCTCACCTTGTGTACCCGTCGGCTTGGCTGGTCTTGCTCCTCGTTAGACGCAGAAGACTTGAAGACTTGGTCTTGTATGGAGGGACTTGGGGGCCACGAGTGGATATGCTTCACTCGGGCCGAGGGTTTCTTGGGCTCAATCGACTGGGTCGAGAGCAGTGCACCTGGTACTATGTACCCCTTCGGTGGCTAACGGTTTCTTGGTCTTTCCACCCCTTTTCTTGTTCCCCGTAGGGAAACCGCTTCCTATAGCGGGTCGTGGAATGGGTACGAACCCACAGGCCAAAATATTTCCTGGGGTTCGTTCGAGCTTGAATCTTACCACACGTCTGTCTTCAACGGGGGGGGGCCAAAATAAATTCCTTCCCCGGAACAGGTGGGTAGATCGAAACAAGCTCGCACTTGAGTCTTGACACTAACTTGACACCTCAGGCCAACTATCCTGAGGTTCAACTTGCGTTGCTTGAGCCGTCACCTCACCTGACGTCGGTGGGCCAAAGGGTATCCCGCCCGGAATAGGTGAGGTGACGGAGAAGCTTGAAGGAAGCGCTTGGAGCTGCCACGTGTAATGCAAATTCGAGTGTGTTTATTTACCTTATACCTTGTATGCTTTTCTTGCCTAACCCTAACCCTTTGATCTGGATAGTGTCACGTGTCGACTCTTGGAGGAAGAACTGGCTCCTTAGTACCTGCACTTTCTGTAATCTTCGATATTCTGTGTACCGATTCTGCACCCTCGGACATTAGGCCCCTGGGCCCCTGGGTCCCTGGGCCCCGGGTCCCTGGGCCCCTGTACCCCTGTACCCCTGTACCCCCTGGGCCCCTGTACCCCTGGGCCCCTGTACCCCTGGGCCCCTGAACCCCTGGGCCTCTGTACCCCTGGGCCCCTGTACCCCTGGGCCCCTGAACCCCTGGGCCCCTGGGCCCCTGGGCCTCTGTACCCCTGGGCCCCTGGTCCCTGATACCCTGGGCTCTTGTACCCTGTGCTCTTGGACCTTGGGGCCTGTACCGACTCTGCACGTTGAAATACCTTGTACCTTCTTTGACCTGAGGACCTTGGACCACCTCGGGGCACTGGACCTTTCGAATCCTGGTGTGCGCCCGGTAGGGTAACCTTGTACTTTTGATCCTGGACGTTCGATACCCCTGTCCCCGATAGCTGGTACCCCTTTCCCTGGTGTCCTGTCCCTGGTGACTGATACCCTTGTCCCCGGTTACTAGAACCCCTTTCCCCGGTAACTAGTATCCCTGTCCCCGGTAACCTGGACGTTCGATACCCCTGTCCCCGGTGACTGGTACCCCTGTCCCCGGTAGCTGGTACCCCTGTCCCTGGTGCCCTGTCCCTGGTGCCCTGTCCCTGGTGCCCTGTCCCTGGTGACTGATACCCTTGTCCCCGGTTACTAGAAACCCTGTCCCCGGTAACTGGTATCCCTGTCCCCGGTAACTGAAAACCCTGTCCCTGGTGACTAGTACTCCGGTCCCTGGTGACTGGAAACCCTGTCCCTGGTGACCCTCGATTGAACCTTGGGACCTTGCGAGGCCTGGGCCCTTGTACCCTAAGGCCCCTGTACCCTGGTACCCTGGGGCCTTGTTACCCTGGGCCCCGATTCTCCTGGCACTTCACCACAGAATCAGCGGGTGATGAACGTCATCACGCAACGCGTGATGATTTCCGCCATTTGAGTGACCTCGAATGGAATGCGGTTCAGCGTATGGCTGAAACCATCGGTGACCCTGCCGTTGGTGCCATGTTGCTCTCTCTTAGCGGAGACGACCAACATGCAACCATCGCCAAGTTCATACAACATGAACTTGACGAAGTCGTAAAGAAAGTCACCTTGCTAGAGGAGCAAGGTTCTCAACAGGTTGACCTGTTGAGAGAACAAAGCGCTCAACAAGCTGACTTGTTGATGCAGAAGGGTGCTCAACAGTCTGAACTGTTGAGACAACAGCAGGCTAGTGCTGTTGCTGCCGGGTCGGCGTATACACGTCAACCCGAGTCCTTGAAGATTGATGTCTCCAAGTACAAGTTAGTCGAAATAATTCTTTGTTGAGATGGTTCGACGTCATTGAGTCTCGCCGCATCGATGACGATGCGATGACGATGCGATGATGGTCGAGTTCGCTATGTCGAACTTGGCTGGACGTGCCAAAGTTTGAGCCTTAGGGCCCAAACTGCATGACCTATACTTTTTCCCAACGAATGATGTTTTCAAAACGCGGCTCAAACAGAAGTTTGAACCGCCTCGAGCCGAATTAGGGCTCGAGCTGAGCTCCTGGATCTGAAACAGGGTAATCGTAACATATACGCTTACTCCCAGCACGCACGTTACCTTGTCAATTGTATCGTGCCGAACCCCATTAATGGATAAAAAGGTTACAATGTGTCTAACGATGGTCCCAAGCACTGACAAAGCAAGTGTTGGTACCCCAGTAAAAGTTGGCGACTACAAGAATCGTGTGAAGACCCTCGTCCGGGACGAGCTGCAGAAACAGCTGACGGTGGCCCGGGGTACTGCAGCAAAATTAACCCCATCTATGACCGGGACCTGGAGCTCCAAAAGACTAGGAGATCGCGGTCGCCTTTAGCTTAGGTCCGGACCCCTTCTAAAGCGGTAAGGCGCAAAATTACCCGTCCTTCGGGGCCGCCTATGACCGAGTTCAGTAAGAGCGATGAATCGTTGTTCGCCGCAATGGCCAAGTCGTGGTCCTCCAGTCGTCGCTCCAAATCTGCAGCTTTCTACTAGAAATTCTGGTCCAGAGGTCTTAAACCTGTCAGAACCGTGTTCAACTCACTGTTAAGCACTCAAAAGGATCTTCAGGTACATTCAAGGAACGAAGACACATGGCATCGAGCTCCAAACGAACAATGAAAACGGGCTCCAAGATTACTCGGATGCGGATTAGGCCGGTGACATCAGGTCACGACGAAGTACAAGTGGCTACGCGTTCATGATGAACAGCGGATGTATCAGCTGGAGGAGCAAGAAGCAACGGACGGTGGCGCTATCATCTACAGAAGCAGAGTACATGGCGCTGTCATAAGCAACGCAAGAAGAGATTTGGCTCAAGGTGTTCATGTGTTAGATTGGTAAGATAGCGAAAGAGGAAGCAGTCAAGATCTACGAGGACAACCAAGGTGCTATCGCGTTCGCCAAGAACCCGAAGTTTCACAAGCGCAGCAAGCACATCGGCGCCCGCTACCACTTGTGCGTGAAAAGGTCAAAAAGCTCAAGTCGAATAGCCGAATGCGAATGTCCAGGTACGACGTAGACATGTGAGTGGACATGTCCATGGTGTGGAGAAGTGCCAGAGAAATGGGGGGCCCTTCGTAGTTATTATAATAACTGGCGTGAAAGATCTCGGTCACTCTCTTGAATGAGTGACAGGGAGTGACCAGGGTCCCGAACTGGTCCAAGGCCCCGAGTTCGGAGAAGATACTAGGATGTCCTACACTACAGACCAAAGGACCAGTGCTGCTAGGACAGCTTAATTTGACCCCAGGTAACAGGTGGGTCCCAGACAACAGGTGGACCCAGGCGACCGGTGGACCCCAGGCAACAGGTTGACCCAGACAACAGGTGGACCCGGTGACCGGTGGACCTCAGGTGACAGGTTGACCCAGGTGACCGGTGGACCTCAGGTGACAGGTTGACCCAGGTGACAGGTGGACCCCAGGTAACATGTGAACCCCAGGCAACATGTGGACCCCAGGTAACAGGGGCCCTGGGGTACCAGGATACCGGGGCCCAGGGGCCTAGGGGTGCCAGCGTACCGGGGCCTAGGGGTACCAGGGTGCCGGGGCCCAGGGGCCTAGGATAACCGGGGTACCAGGGCCCAAGGGCCCTGGGGTACAGGGGCCCAGGGGTACCAGGGCCAATGTCCGAGGGTGCAGAACCGGTACACAGAATATCGAAGATTACAGAAAGTACAGGGTACCAAGGAGCCAGTACTTCCTCCAAGAGTCGGCACGTGGCACTATCCAGATCAAAGGGTTAGGGTTAGGCAAGAAAAGCATACAAGGTATAAGGTAAATAAACACAC